TCGACTTTCGTTCGTTTTAAATTTTTAAAACCGAATTTAGGAGTGTGTACAGTTTATAAACTGAGCCTGACTCAGTGTTTGGCTTTCTTCACTTTGAAACTTCGCAAACCGTGATATAGCTATATTTCAGGTTTAGAAACTTCCAAACAGCTCGTGGTGGTAAATTGTTTGGAATTGTTCTTTTATTTTGCAGGTGTATGAAATGGATTTTGCAAAAACTGCTACAGCTCCATTATTAACATCGCCGGAACTCGATGTAAGGGAGGCTTTCGCAAAGGTATGTATTTATTTCGTCTTTCGGCACTGATCAGTATAGAATTACTGGTTTCCAAGTACATCTAATATTTTCAAATTCCATTTTCTAAATGACATGCAATTATAGATGATCATTTATGCAAAACCAAAGCATATACATTATTATGAATGAAAATTTAAGATTTTAAGATGAGTGGGACGCTCACATATTGGTTTTTCATTCTTTTGAATCTTCATTCTAGTAATGTCTCGATGAGCCAAGTTTTTAGGTCATCCACATATGGAAAGAACGTTGTCATACAGTAAATAGGCGCTTATTAGGCGTTGTGTCAATAGACGAACAGAATTCTAGGCACGATCATATGTTAACATTACCTCATGTATTTTCGAAAAATGTTGAAATTCGCAAATTCATTCCTAGATCACCCGATGTTTTTTCGACCTGCGCATATGAAGCTTCTTTTTGGTTAGGCCCACTCCTTTTATTATAAAATATGTCTTAATTGAGGATGGATTCATTCTAAGTGAAATTTATTATTGTTGAAATGAATTAGTGAAATTTCGAGATTCAAATTGAAAATTTGTTTTTAAAGAGCCTGAGATCATCATAGGATTTTGCTTTCAGTTTTATCTGAGCATCTTTTGTTAGAAAAGCTGTATGCAGTGTATCTCGAACCGGCTTAAATCAATTGTTAAATATATAGTTATGATTAGTAATTAAGACCGTACAGTTTAGATGAATATATTGTGGAATTTCGGCCTTATGTATTGGACGAGAAGCGACATCCTCATATTTCTTTTCCATACCGTCTTGCTTTGGAAGAAATCTCAGATCAGCAGTGGTACGTTGCCCGAATGATTTTTTATCATTTCTGTTTAATTTATGCAGCTATAACAATGGGTGTTTTTGTTTAATCAGTAATGCTTTCAGTAATACTAGTAACGCTTTGTTTTCTTTTTCAGGAATCTAAGTCTTTTCATCTGTAACAATGCGACTAATTATAATTGGTTGCAAAAAGTCGCATTTCCGCGTTTATTGAAGTGAGTTTCTGTGATTTCTTGTGATTTGCTTCTAAAAATTTTAATGTTCCGTATTTCCAGATGGTTTTCTGAAATTGATGAACGGAAGGATATCACAATTTCGCACAGATTAATTAATATGGAACATTATTCCCAGGTCTATTGTGAAATCAAAAATAAGTGGGGCCAGCAAATTGCAGCAGTAAGTCTTTCTGCTGTTCTAATAGTTGAAATTTTGTACTTACTATCATCGATTTTGTGTAATATAGTCGTACTCATTCAAATTTGAATTAGTTTGTTTTTTCAAAATTCCACATTTATTGAACTTTTTTTTTTTTTTTTTGGTTTTTTAGGCCTGGACAGAAAGGACGAATCCACAGAAATTTGTTTATGAAGACTGCGCTATTGCAGCTTATCTAATTGTAAGGAGAAATTTCTTTGTTAAAGCATTTATAGACTCATTTTTTAAACTAACTGCTGGGAAAGTGAATTTTAGGTCTACTGGCGACAAAAAGGCTTCTTACCACAAAAATTTTGTGATATTGGTTGTGGTAATGGCTTACTTGTATATCTCTTGCAGCAGATGAAGGTTTCTTCTTCTTCTTTTTTTTTTCAATTATTGAATTTTTTAGAAGAAAAAATTCATAAAAAGAATCTCCCACTACCATTTTTGATCACAGCTGCAAAAACCAATGTTTTGAGTCTCACTAAATGAAAAAGCTTATAGGTAAATGGTTATGGAATTGATTTAAGACAACGGAAAATATGGGCGAAATTTGTTGGAACTGACTTGAAAGAAAAAACACTGAATCCAAAAGAAGATTTGTTGAGTGATAGCGATTTTCTTATTGGGAATCACACAGATGAGCTGACACCTTGGATACCTATTATGGCTGCTAGGTTTCTTCTGAAAAATTTGAAATTTTTAACGAAGCTTATTTTTACAGTCAACCAGCAAAGATGAATCCCTGTATTCATTCATTTTTGGTCAGAAATCACACCAAAATGTTCACTTTTTCCATTTTATTTACTCCTAGTTGTTGAAATCTCTTGATATCCTCGATTTTCAAAAATGAATGTTCGAAATTTCTTATAACTATCAATTTCAGATCCAGAAGTAACTTTTTCTTATTGCCATGTTGTCCATTTGATTTTTTTAACCGTTTTCAAAAAAAGTGTGGTATGGCTGCTGCTAGTTTATATTCATCTTATCTTTTATTCATTCGCAGTATCTGCTTGAGGTAAATTTGATATTCAATAATGACAAACTTTTCTAGCAATTTTTCCCTCTTCGGTGAATTATTCTGAAAAGCTCTGAGTCACTAAGGAAATGTTCAGGTTAGGCTACTGCGTTGAAGAAGATCGGCTAAAAATTCCGTCAACGAAGCGCTATTGTTTCCTTTGCACAGTACCTGCTAGCGGTTTAGTAGAAAATCTGGAAAATGTTATAAGTAATATACTGACGCGTGCGAGTTTACCAAATTTCGTGCCAAGAGAGAAAATTGAAAGGGTAATTTGCACTTTGATTTAATATAGAACTTTTCTGAGGTATCTATAAAGTTCACTTTTTTTGCTTGATGAAGTTATATGTGAAAGAGAATTATTACTTCCATTAAAATTTTAAAACTTGTAGATCACAGCTAGTACTTGACTAATTAAATACAATTTTCATACTCAATAGAGAGTGCTTCTATGCGTAACCACTGATTTCAGATAAGAAATTGTTCTAAACTTTCTCGGGATTTTCAACAGGCACTTACCACAAAAATATTCAAACGTTTCTTCGAACTGTCATCGGACAAAGCAACAGTGTACATATATATTTACACTTTTAAATTTGAGAATTTTATACTATAGATTTTGAACTTTTTCAGAGTTTTAGAAATTGGTAAGTATGAGTTGTAGATCTTGACATTAGTCAATTACATTAAATCATGTGTTGCAGCTATTGGCATGAAAAACAGTCATGCTCTCTAAAAGAGATAGCTGATGTACTTAATGAGGAAGAAAAAGCGCAGCTTCGAAATTCAGACGGTGGTTTGCAGACATTCCTGAAAAATCAGCATCAAATTTTCAAAGTACGACACAAATGAGATCAATTTCTGTTAGGTATAGAAATAAAAGAAAAAAATAGCGCTAATATGATCCTTCCATCCCTGTAGCTTTATAGATGCAGTTGCAAAAATTGAATTCCGTAAATTATACTCTTGTCTTTTAATGAGCAGAATTCCGACTTCTTATTTTGAGTGATCAAGTTAATTTCAGATAGTTAAAGGCACTGTTTCAATACGTAATTGGGCTGAAGAAGGCAATCGAAGAGTGGAAGGAAAACTAAGGACAAGGGATTGTTGGTTTCATAAATATCATCCAAATGGTTGCCCATTATCAGCTGAAGATTGTTCTTACAAACATTGAATCGTTTACATACATCCGCAAATTTAATTGAATTGCAGATTTATTCATTGAATCTTTTACATACATCTGCAAATTGAATTGAATTGCAGATTTATTCAGCTCACAATTTGAATACAGTGAGATTTGACCAATTGTAGATAGTAAAATCTTTTCCTTTTCTGATCTAATCTTATCAAAAATTGTTTGTATCAAAATGATACTAAAAATGGAAAGCCATTACAGCTGGTCAATTTTCTGTACAATCAGCAGCAAATCGATATTAAAAGATATCATTTACATTTGTTAATAGTAATCTTACATTGAATTGCAATGAAGCAGAATGCTTTCAGCTCATTTGTTAACGTATCAGGCAGGACTAAATTTTTGTATTTTATGAAGATTGAATTATCACTTATTTCATTGCTTCACCTTATGTCAATTGATCAATGAACGACGATGCTGTGATGTTGCGATGTTGCTCAGTGAAGAACGTAACTGTTAAAATTTTGCTAGAAGAAAATATGTTTACAATAATGCAAAGAAAAAAAAAAACAAAATCCATTACACATACAATGAACAGCTAGTTACATAATAATACATTAATACTATAAATCAATCAAAATAGAGGCATTTTTGGCAGCCGAGGAATTCACATCACTATTTGTGCTTATAACTAACGAAGAGGTTATATATCTCTTTTTAAAAAAGATTAAAAAAAAAAGAAAAAAAAAAACACATCCATACTTATAGTGTAAGACGCGAAAAATTTGCTAATTATTTAAAAAAAGAATACAGTTAAATATGCTCTATTCAAAATATTTCAGAAACAATAATTTCTCGTATTTAACTTTCTTTTAGAAAAACTCAAACAGTACATGTTAAGCATAATTCTTTAAACTTAAAAATAATTCTGGTGAATTATTACTACTATTATTGTTATTATTATTTTGGAAAATCTAAATTCCAAATTCAACTTTAAATTTATTAATGCATTCAATGAATGCATGCATATCTGACAGTAATAAATTATTACTACTTTTGATGGTTGTAAAAAAAATAAATAAATAAATGCAAAGATTTCCATCATAAAGTATACTGTCAAAAAATAAAACAATTCGTAATTGTTCCTGAGATTTCACGAGATTTAAAATAAAACTAGAAAAGAGAAACAATGATCTAGATTTAGATGAGATTTTGCAAAACATTCTTCTTTTTTTTTTTTTTTTTTTTTTTTTTTTTGAGGAATTATTTACACTTTCAAAAACTAATAATTGATAAAAAATAAAAAACTAAATTTTTAGACGAGATCAATGATAGAGAGATATTTGAATTCAAACTGAAATACCACTATCAATTACAGTGCCCGTTGTTCTTGATGCTGTTTCGTGATAATTATTGCCTCCGGTAACTGATGATTGCTCATTTGTTCGAGTACTAAAACTATTAAATAAAATATTAAATAGTAATTCGAAAAAATATATTCTCAATTAGCAATTTATTAAATAGTATTAATTAGAATATTCAAATGTAAAATTTTAAATGATAAATTTGTCAAATTAATCTAAGCAATTTTTTTAAGAAAATTACCACCTTTTCATTCAATAATTATTTCTTTAACAATAAAAGTTAAAGCTCTTTCATTTTTAATTAAAAATTTTTAAAATAAGCTTTTGTTTTTTTTCTTTTCATAATGAAATATAATCGTGTAGCTAAGCTTAATTCTCACCATTTATTTATTTACTTATTTATTTTTTGATCTAAATTATCAGCTTATCTAAATGATACAATGATAACTTACAGACGAGGAGTTCCTTCATCATCTGCATCATGTGCATCATCAAATGATAACCTTTGTGAACAGCCACGATCTTTTGCTACAAATAAATTTACATTTTATAAATATAATAAAAATAATTATATAATATAAAAAAAAAAATTAATGAAAAATATAATATACCAATGAATGTTCCTTCTGGTGTATAAATGGTATCAATATTTCCTTTGCTAAATCGATTACGACCTTGTTCCAGGTATAATGAAATCACTGAACGAGTCATCACATCACCACCTAAATTATACAAATTATTAATTATCTAAGATTTTTTCTTTTTTTGTTTTTCTAGATATTTCTTTTTTTTTTTAAATTTATTTTTCTCTTTAAGTTATGGAATAGTAGAATTTATTTTTACCTCATTTTCTTATTTTTTTGTTGTAATTTTCTTTTTTTTCTTTTCTAGCATTTTCAGTTTAAGATAATATAAAATTGTATCATGGCCATTATCAATTATTGTTGTTACTATTATTATTATCATTATTATTTTATTATTATTACTATTATTTGTTGTTGTCGCTGTTTATTATTATCATTATTATTATCTTATCATTATTATTATTATTATTATCTTATTATTATTATTATTATTATTATTATTATTATTATTATTATTATTATTATTATTATTATTATTATTATTAATTTACTGTTATTATTTATTATTATCATTGTTGTTATCTTAAGATCACTATTACTATTATTATTAATTTATCATTATGGCTATTGTTACTGCTATTATTATTATTATCATTATCAATTATTACTATTATCAGTATCTAAGGTTGAAAAAGCACAGAAAATTGACGAAAGATTTAATGATGCGAATATCGCAAGATACGTCGCAAAGAATGAAAACACACTTTTTCGCATATTATAAAATTAAACAATTACAAATCAAAAATGGAATATAAATTAACTTATGATCAGTTCATTAATTTATTTGTAAAAATTTTAAACTTCAATTCAAAAATGAGCTATTTTCAAAAATTAATTCATACGTGATTGTGAAGATCGATGTGGAATAGTGGAAGAAATAGGACATCGTTCACTTTGACATAAACGAGTTGAACAAACATTCATTGATTGTGGACTACGATATTTTCTAAAAATGATTAAATCATTTTTAAATTCAAGCTTTTTCTGTTTCATAAAAAAAAAAAAAAATTTGCAAAAGTGATACCTATGAATATATTTTTATATTATTCAATAGATAAAACTAGCAACTTTAGATTATTTATCAAAAATTTTTTTTATGAATAAATTTAAATTAAAAAAAAGAGAAACTTAAAGAATTAAATTTTCCATAGCTTACATTGCACAATTAGTTTTAACAGAATTTGGTTCACCCTCAGATGTAGACGATTCCATTTCCTCAATTTTGTATCGCAATAAATCATTCTCTTTTAGCATTGATTCAGACATTACCGCTTGATTACGCGCAGAACGTTGTAACTCTTCAAATTTCGATGTCAAAACTCTGCAAAAAAAAAAAATAAAATAATTAAAATTTTAAATAATAAATTAATTTTTGATAAATTTAGCATAACTTTTGTAATGTTAAACTTAAATAATCTAATTAATGAACTAATTATTAATTATATAATTCTCGAATATTGATTACATACTTTTCCGTATTAGTTTTTTGATCTACCAATATTTTTAATTCTCGAACACGATGCTTTAGCTTGCTTATTTCAATATCTTTTAATGGTATCTCTTCCACTTTCAATTGTAATTTTGCATTTGAATGTCGTAGCGTTTTAATTTCTGTTGATTTAATTTCCAATGCTGTATTTAAGCTGCTAATTTCTTTTGATAATTCCTAAAAATTTAAACTTTCAATTAACTAAAATTACAAATGAAATTTGTAAATTAATCGAAATACATCAATTATATATCATAAGTTTCGATTATTTTCGCTTTAATTCAAAAGTATCAAATGAATGAATCAAATTTTTAATAAAAAAATATATAAATCGTTTTATGTTATTTTTTTTCTATCAATTTATAAAAAGAAATGCAAAAAAAAAAGATGTGAAAAATTATTTATAGAACTTAAAATATTCAAAATTAAACTAATTTACAAAAAAAAAAAAAAAAAGAAATTTACCGCAACTTTTTCATTTGTATCTTTACTTAGTGTTGCTTCAAGATTTTTCTTATCTCGGATGAGTTCTTCCAAAACTTTTTCCGCTTCCGCTAATTTACTATCCAAATTAGAGCATTGAATTTGATTGGAACGGCTAAGGCGTTCAATTTCCGCTTCATGAATGCAACGTTGTTCATCTAATGTTCGCATTAATTCATCATTACATTCTGCTAACTAAAATAAAATTAAATAAATATCATTAATCTGTAATTTATTATTAAAAAAATTAACAAATATTCCATGCAATAATTATCGAATTAAAATTTAAAAAAGAATTTTAAACTAACAATAAATAGAAGAAAAAAGAGAAATGTTTAGGAATATTTTATTAATTCTAAGATATCATCAAGTGCTTATCATAACAAATGCAAATAATTTCAATTTACTAAGCATCAAATATAAGTGTTAAGTGTTAAATTTTAATTGATAAAATAGATAATTTGAAATAACATAAAAATAATAAAAAATTTGTCAACGATTTCAAAATATGTATATATAAATACATAAATTAATTAATCAATTAATTAAAATTATTAACTTTTTTTCTCAAATCTACGAAATATGAAATCGAATATCTAAATGTTACTATCATTTTATGCTAAAAATTTATGAATTTTTCAGCAAAATAACAAAAAAGTTGCAAAAATTTTAATGCAAGTATTAATAATATTTATTTATTTTTTTCATATATTGCATAAAAGTAAAGAAAAAGTTAAAAAAAAAATTCTTTTTAAGAAGAATAAATTGTAGAAAATAATTTTTATTATGAATTAAACAAAAGAATGTTTTAAGCAAAAATAAAATAATTAATGAAAATAGTTAAAAGTAATAAAAATTTAAGCAAATAATAAAATTTAAGTAATTAAATGAATGAATAATAAATAAATAAAATAAAAGTTAATGTCAATTTTTTTTTAAAAATACAAAAATGAAATGAAAAATAAAATTTATAAATTAAATAGTTATTGTTCTAAATTTTGAAACTCACATGCAGTTCATATGTGAATGAACCTATTAGTTAGTATCTTTAGATGATTAAAACTACAATAAAACTTTTCTTTGATCCATCCGACAAGTCATTCATCTAGAAATTACTTTTAAGAAAATATTCGTTCAATCTTATCCATCTGCTCAATATAGCAATCTTTAATCTGTTGAATTACTCATCATAATAGTTTATTTCTTTTTTTTTGATTTAAATATAATTTTTTCAATTTATTTTTGAACAATTTAAACATACATATATATATATATTTTAAATATTTATAAAAAATTTAAGCATATTTAATTAATCATATTTTTCTTATTATATAAAATAATAGCTATCATAAAATTTCAAATAAATTATTTGTGAAATTTAAATTTAAATTAATTATACATAAATGAAACATTAGTAAAGAAATAATGAAAAAAATAAATTGTAACTTTTATAAAATCTTTAATTAATTATGCTTAATTGCTTAATTTCTTCCAAAAATTTTTCATTCATTTTGAATACAAAAATATTTTATAGTAGATTAAAAAAAAATTAAATTTGTGATATTTTTCTCAAACAATAATACATTTTGTTTGCCTAGAAATTAGGCCAAATATATGTATATATATTGGCTCTGATAAAGTACGAATGATCGTATCTTGAAATTGAGATTGTTTGGGTCATTTTTCGAAATTACTATCATAAATGGAGCATTCAAAGAAGGATTGGTATAATGTTTGATCATTTTAAACAGATAAAAATATTTCAAAACTAGCATTAGTCAATTATTTTATTAACTAATATTTAGCTCTTTTTTGTTTTGTTTTTTTTCACTTGAAATGAGCTAATAAATAGTTTATTTTATATTAGTTTAATTCATTTTACAGTCATTTAATGATTATTTTAATAAATGTTAATTTAAAAACAATTTTTATCTAAATTCATTATAATTTTATTAATTATCATAATAAAATAATACTTTCATCATAAATTAATAAGAAACAGAAATAAGTTTTCAATAATTTTTTTTTTTTGGAAATAACTAATAAAAAAATTCATTTTTAAATATAAGAAGAAAATGAAAAGAAATCATTAATATATGTGGTAAATGTAAAATTAAAATAAACATATTATATTTTAGTATAAAGTAATGTTTATTAATTTAGAAAAAAAAAATTTCATTTCAATTTTTATCTAAATTCAGTTACAACATTATAAAATGATACTTTCATTATAAATTAATTAATTAATTAAAAAAAAATAGAAAATAAAAAAGCTAATTACAGCATATCTAATTCTATAAAATAACATATCCACTATGAATTAATTCAAAGAAAAAAAAAATTGGAAAATAAAAGAAAATTTAATCACACATACTTAGCACCATAAAATAAGACTTTGATTATGAATAAATTTGAAAAAAAAAAAAAAAATTAGAAAATAAAAAAGCAAATAATAGCATACCTAACTCTACAAAAATAACACATTCATTATGGATTAATTAATTAATTAAAAACATAAAATAACACTTTCATTACGAATTGATTAATTAATTAATTAATTAATTTAAAAAAAAAAGTCCAATTATATACATACCTGTTTTTCATATCGTTCCTTTATGGAATTTAACTCATCTTCATGATTTTGATTCACTGCAAATAAAACAACAAGAAAGATGAAAATAACAATAATTGGCAGAAGAATAGTTGATGATTGAATTAGTGTTAATGATAGAGCAGATGATGCTGCAGTTGTTGTGCATGCTAATAAAATAATATAAATAGTTGTAGATGAAAATAATGATATTAAAATAAATGGTAGTACAACAAGGCCAGGTGTTTTAAGACGTATTAAATTTGGTATTACACAGAATATTGGCATTGTTCAGTGAAATAGAATGATTGATAGTTGAAAGTAAATATTAATATATAAAAAATAAAAGTCAGCTTAAAATATTTTATTGTTGAAATAGGAATATGCAAAGAATAGTAAATAACTTTTTGCTAATTTTTAGCCTTTTTTTTTTTTAAAACAAAAATAAATTTTTCTTTTTTTTTTTTTTGTCAGAGAAATTAGAAATTTGAATAACCAATAAGGATGCGTCAAATAAAGAGCAATACGAAGACGATAAGAAAAGTAGGAAATTTGTTAATGAACAAAATGATAAAACCCCTTAAAAATGATCCCTATTCATTGATCTTTTCTTTCTTCTAACATTTTCTCTTTTATTCTCTCTTTCTCTCTCTCTCTCTCTCATCTTTCTCTTGTAAAGATAATAAATTAGTATTTGAATTGTATGAATGAAAATAGTATGAAGATAGAAAAGAAAAGAATACAAAAATGTTTCTACAAATAATTTAGCAATTTGATTTTTATTTTTAATTTGTAAAGAAGATGAAATGATCAAAAAGAGAGGTCAAAAGATAAATGATAGAATAATTGAAATTGAAATTAATTAAATATGAACAAAATATATTATTGATCTTTAAAAAATAGATGGAAAAGAAAATAAAAAAAAAAAAAAACTTGAAATTTCTAGAATAAATAAAAATGATTATAGAATGATTAAGATGAAAGTAAATAATTGATCATCATAGAAAATCAAAAACTTAAATATTATTTAATAAAACCTTGAAATTTATATATTTTCTGCAAGTTTAGTCCCTTTATGTAATGCAATGAAAAGCATTGATGCATTGATTGCATGCAAGAATAATGCATGCAATCAATGCAAGCAAAGAAACTTTTTAGCATTAGCTTAAAAAGTTTTTAATGATAGCCAAATGAAATGCATTTAATTCTTACAATGCAAATTTATAATCAATTTTAAATTGTAACAATAAATGCTTAATGAACTGTTGAATTTACAACGAATAAAAGAAGGTCATCATGTGTCCTTGATATTACTTTTAAGCTCTACCACTTCAAAATATCCTAAATTTGCATATAAATCCATAAATTGTCATTTTCAATTATAAATTATTCAAAGCTTATCAATTGTTGAAGCTTTTAAATTAAATTTTGAATTTCAATATTTTAAAAGTAACTAAAACAAATTTTATTCTATCATTTTTTTCTTTTCTTTTTTTTTTCCTTCAGTTGGTTAAAGTAGAAAAAATTCTTCACCATTCATATATAAACATGCAAAATTCAAATATTCTCAGAAAATTGATGAAATAATTCTATTTTCAATTTATGTTTTTTTTCAAATTTAAATCGATATAATCTGTTTTCTTTTTATTTTTGATTTATGTTCAATTTAACAATTCCAAAAAAAAAAAAAAAAGAAAAATTTTGAGGTGAAAATAAGTTCAAATAGCACTTTTTTTGGATATGAAATGATAAAAATTCCAATCAATAATTTAATTTTTTTTTTCAAAAAAAAAAAAAAAGTCATTTAAAAATTTCTTTCTTTTCTTCATATTGTTGCATATTTTAGTAAAATTATTAGCCATTTCGTCATTCGAACTTTTCATCGTAGACAAACGAATTTATACAAAGAAAATTTGTGACGCAAAATTAAATGTCACCGATACAACGATATTAAAACAGATTTACACCACTGATAATGAAAGGCCAAATGTTTGAATAATTTTGTTTGCTTTTCATTGCAGAAAAAAAAAAAAAAAAAACGAAAAAGAAAAAATTCATTGAAGAATTTAATTCGAAAAAAAAAAAAAGCAAAAATTCAATAATTTGTGGAAGAAACTAAAATGAATAAATTTTATATGAGAATTTGCAATATAAGTAGCAATTAATGATAATTTGATTTAAATAGACAAGATAAAAATTATCATTCTATTATCAAATTATCACTAAAACTGAATAAACTGTTTTACTTTGATATTATCGATCAGATCAATTTTTCCTTCTGCTATCCATTATATCATTTATTTTCATAAATAAATTTTTAATTTATTAACCAATAAAAAAAAAAAATGCTAATTTTTATTATTAAATTTAATTTTTTTTGTTCTTTCACTTTCATAAATTGATCTATTTTTATAATCAAAAAAAAAAGAAAAAGCAGAAAATCGATAAAAGAAATAAAAAAAAAAAAAAAACTTAATATCTGAGAAGTAAGATTCGAAAAGATATTATGTTCTTAATATTTTTCTTATTTTTCCTTCATTTTTTTTTTTCTAACACTTTGACAAATAACTTGTTTTCAAGGTCTCTAAAATGGATGAAGTGAAAGGGTTTAAGAAAAAAAAATGAATTAAAAAGACATAAATTACATTAAAGTGTCACATATCATCATCAAGAATGATTTTAAATGAAATTTGCAATAATTACTTAAAATTAGATTGTAAAAAATAGTAGCATCTAAAAACATACTTCAAAAGAAAAGAATCAAATTATAATTTAAAAAAAAGAAAAAGAAAATTACTATTTGTTAATTCATTTTTTCCTTTTTTTAAAAATTTTTTTTTTTAATACTTAAAAAGTTTCATTGAATTTTTCAAAAATATATGAAAATATTTTACAATAATTTGTTCACTATTTTAGCACAAATATATTTAAGGCTAATAATACATAAGCATTGTTGAGAAAATATAAAAACAATCCAAAAACAATATAATAATTATTTTTGACAATTCACACTTACAAATAATATTAACACAAATAATTTGTTGAATTCATTAATAAAGTTAATAATCTATTTGCGATTTAAACAATTCAATCAATAGTAATCAATATTATCAGCAATTATCAGTAATTTCGTTGAGTGATAATAAATTTCAAACTATCATAACCTTTTCAATTTATACAATTATCATTGTTAATTTGCACTAAACATAAATAAATTTGTATTAAAATTCAATACTTGAAAAAAAAAAGAAAGAAATTAACAAACCATTATCAATTTGTCGAGTGTGATCAGCATTTACTGCTATCAGTAATTCCTCATATTTAATTTCTAATGCTTTTACGTGAGATTCTGAAAAGATACTACTAATTCTATTCTTCCATAAATTTAAAAATTTAAATAGAATTTAAATTAATAGTCAAATTTGGACTAATCTTTCGTTGTTCAAATTTAACTTCAATGCTTACTGAAATAGATGAAATGATTCATTGAAATTTTAACTTAGAATTATAAATTATGTATGAATAAAAGTACAAAAAATGCCCTTGAATTCAATCAATAATTAGTTCATTAATTAGTGTAATTTTTTTTTTTTTAGTTCAAATTGTAATAAATTTAATTTTCTATATCAAACACTCAAAATTTTTTTCTGTTTTAGTTCATTCAATCAAAATTTCACATTCATTCACTTCTAAACTAATCATTCAATTTTACTAAATTCTTAATTTCTCCATTAATGAATTAATATAATTAATGGATATTAGCGAGAACAAAACGATCGCTAAAATATCTTTAAGTAAAAAAAAAAAAAAAAAAAAAAAAAAGGTAATTAAAAAGTTAACAAACAAATGAAAATTTATTTTTGTAATATGTTGAAACTTAGTAATGTAAAAATTCTTTTTCAGGATAATCAATAAAATCTGTAATATCAAATCAATAAAATCTTATTATAAAAAAGGTTTACAAGTTTTTAAATTTTGCTTATGTTTAAATAAATTTTTTTTTAAATTAATTTTAGATTAAAAGCGTACCGTATTTCTTATTCTGTTCAAGCGCTGCATGTAATTCTTCATTGCACTAAAAATTTTCAAATTTTTTGATTGTAATAATTAACAATGAATAAAATAAACTTTTGTTTCAAATAATTTTGTTCGAATTTAAAAAAATTTTGAGAAATTTCTCAATTTTAATTGAATATAATTTCATATGAAATATAATCAATTATAATTTGAATGGGTTTTTTTTTTTTTTCGAAATTTCTAAGCTAAGAAAATAATTTTAAGATCAGTTCAAATTTCTGCATAAAATCATAAGACACAAAGTTAAACAAAATATATGAATTTTAAATATTTTTGACATTTAAATTTTAAATACTTAAATATATTTAAATACTTTCTGTCATCTACTTACAGTTAATTAATCAAGTAAAAGAAAATGAAACTTTTTGAATTTGTTGACCGAAGACAACAGCAAGAACATCAAATCCACGAACAGCATCTGTTAATCTCTTTAATTTCAAAGTGTCATCTGAAAATGAAGATTTTGAAAATTTTTTAATAAATTATATTTAGAAGTTTAATTTAACAATAAATTAAAAATATGAACCTTTTTGCTTTCCGAAACAAAAATTATTTAAGCACTGAAAATTGCTCATTTCATTTAGAATTGTTCATAGATAGTAAAAATTTCTCGAAATATATTCAAATTCGTTAAAGCCTTGTTACAATTGTATATTAGTTTGATTTGACAATTTGAGAAATATAATGAAATTTAATCCAACGAATTTTATAATTTTAATCTTAAAAGAGAAATCATCCTAGGCGAATTTCCCACCTCTCAGAATACAAAATCGTATTTGATTCGCCGAAAAGCCGATTAAACACCAAACGACGCATTTAGTTAAATAATCTTAGCACATTGGAATTAAATATTCACTTGTATTTTAGCTAAACGATTGTATTTATGAATTTATTTTTCAATTTAAAATTAAATTTTTTAAAATTAATTGTATAAGATATAGAAGTGAAATCATATTGAAATACACCAATGATTTTTTGAATAATTTTGATTTCAATTGATAATTTCAGGATGCTAAATTATACTACAAAACTTTTCAACAAATATATTAATCAATATGATAAATTTATACTTTCTATCAATCAATCGATCAATATTTTGTATTTCCTACTACAGTAATATTACATCATCGCCTTTAAATTATGACAAGAGCGCATATAAACTTCAAATGTTACAGTACCAACACATAATAATAATAACATTCATTTTTGTTTTTTGAAAAAAAAAAAGAAATTGTAGAATGGAAGCAAAATGTTCATAATCTTAAGATGTGTTTAATTTGAAATGAATTAATTAATTTACGATAAAAATTATGAATTCATTTGCAATTTATGATTAAAAAAGGTTGTTACATTTCAGAAACTCTCAAACAATTCTCAAATTTCATTTCATATTATCTTTTACAATTCTATAACAAAATAAATTCCCTTGCACAATTAATAAATATGAGATTGATTTGTAAATGGTAGATATTTCCAGTTGATGGAATTAGTTTAAATACAAATAAGTTAACTTGTAATGTAATAATCGAAAAATTAATAAAGTTAACAAATATTAACTAACCTTGGTGCGTTTCATTTGTCATTGGTGTAAGTTGCTTCCCGGTTTTACGAACTTTAAGTAATGAATGTGCTGCAGATGATGTAGGTAAACCGGAATGTAATGCTAAAAAAAAATCACTTCAATACTTTAACATTTTAAAAAAAGTAATATAAATTTTGAGCATAACTTGGAACATCTCACATTAAAATTTTAACAACAGTCACTGTAAAACAGAATACTTGAAGACATAAATTACACGCCTAACACTGTAAAAAGTTTAAAAGATGGAACTGGAAAGGTTGTAATGTTAAAATTTATGTTAACATTATGTGATACTGTAATATAACTGTATTGATACCGTAATACAATTGCATACTGTAGCACACAGAAGATATTATTTATAAAGTGCAATTTTTTTGATTAATTAGATGTCACTGGAGATTTAAAATTTGTGATAATATTATGTGATACTGTAATATAACTATAGTGATACCGTAATACAACTGCATACTGTAGCATAGAGAAGAAAGATATTATTTATAAAGTGCAAATTTTTTGATTAATTAGGTGTCATTGGAGATGAGCACTACGATGATAATCATATTTGTTATTCGATTATAACATTTAATCGTTGAGAATAATAAATCAACCTTGGAACTATTGTTGAGAACAGTTTCTGATCTATCAGAGAGTTACAGATGCTAAAAGAGGAGAAAAGATGAATTTTAACTTGTTGAAATGGTCTAAGCAAATCTGAGAGTAAATTGGCACAAATTTAGGTAATTTAATCAAAACTACGAAACAGGAAATATTTAGGTTGCAGCAATGAAATGTACAAAGCGATCGTAAAAATGGAGTTATGATGAGAAGAAACATTCTCCTTGAGTATTATTATAATTTCTTCTAGCATCAGATTATTGTAATATAAAAGTTACTGATAATTTTTAATTTATGTAAAATTAATTTCAATCTTTCTGCAAGAAAAAATTTATCAAGTATAGAAGAAAATGAGAGAGAAAACAGATTTGTTAGTTGTTAAAATATATTATCCAACTTAATCAACAAATTTACTTCCTAAAATTTATGATAATTTCGAAATTTAACCCAGATAATAGTTTAATGAATGCTTCTATTTATGTAATATAAGATAAACTTTATCAAATCAACAAAAGTATGTAAAGAAATTAAAAGAGTTAAATAAGATAATGGAGAAATGAATTTCTTATATTTTAAATTTAAAAATAAAAAAATTAAATCGAATTTACTCGAATTTCTTACATTCAACCATTCAATGTTACACTATTAAATTACATAGGTCAATCAGTCCAAGGAATAAAATCCACATTTTCCACATATTTCATTTTCAATCCCAATTTTCTCCAATTATTTTCTCTTTCAATTGCACTGGATAATAGGACATCAGCGCCAAATGCAACAATATGAAATCTTCCCCTTTTACAATTTACAATTTCAATTAGACATAAAGCTGAACTTTCATAGGAAAATCAATACTTACGTTCTGTTCTTGTGATATTTGATGTTTGAGGTATTGATTTAGAATTTAAAGTAGGTAGCTCTTTGGGAATTTCTTTTTTCAACTTTTCCGATCGTACTGTAAGTGAGCCTAAAATTATCGCAGTGTATTTATCATTTTAAAATATATTCCCTTCAAATTTAAAAAAAAAATTTCAACATTTTATATAAGAATATTTTACCAAAATAGTTCCTAAGATATAACAAGTATTATTACTTCTATAGAGTAATAAGATAAGAGTAAATAATCAAACGACAGAAATTGATGCAAGATGAATATGATAATTGATTTGATTTAATTTAAACAATACTTTAGAAAAAAAAAATAATTTATAACAGATTTTAAAATACATATTAGAAAGATAACCTTAGTTTAAGTGATAACAATTTTATTAACTTTATGTCAAAGATAGTAATAATCATCCCTCAAAAAGTCTATTAACTTTCATTTTGCAATTAAAAATCAAACAAATTTACTAATCTAGCATCATATCATATTAAAATATACATTACAAATTTCAAGAAAAGAAGTATCACTGATAAGATAGTTTATAAAAAAAAAAAGTTAGATCTAATTAATGGAAAGAAAAATATTAGCATAACTAAAACAGAATAAAAATATGAATCACTAAATCTATTAATCTCAAAATAAAATAATTATTCAATACATGAAAGATTACGAATATAATTTAAAATTAATTTACAAATATTCAAAAGTTAGACTGAATATATGAATTTATCAATATATGATAGATTGAAAATTCATATAAAATAAACTATTCCTGTGTTAATTGTTGAAATAATTTCATTTAAATCAATAATTAATAATACCTTTTTGAAAAGTTTTTGGCTGAGTTAATAATTGTTTTTGCTTTGTAACTGGTCGTGATGCAGCTGTCATTGTGTTGGTGACATTATTAGATTGCTGTGTTGAACGAAGTCGTCCAGGTTGACCTCTTGAATTTACTACCGTTTTCAATGCTTCATTTCGACGACGTTTTGCATTTGGTGATGATGGATGAATCATCTTTTTGTTTTCTTCATTAGCAGGCATCTTTTCTTCTACAAATGAAAATTAAAAAAATAAATAAATAAATAAAAATATGCAAAAATAAACTTCAAATTACAAATTTTAATCTTTAAAAAAAATAAAACATAAAAAGATATTGCAACGTAAAATGTTTCAGATAAATTATCATGAACAAATAAAAACAATGTTCTTATCAAACTTTTTTATGTTATTGATTGATAGTGTTATTACAAAAGTAGTTCATTGATAAAATTAGAAAATGAAAAAAAAAGCCATATGAAAATTAGTTTTATATGCAAATATAATTTTATTTTATAACAAATTTTATTTCTTAAATTAACAATAGCTAAATACTTCAACTCAACATTGAATTGAATCTGATCAGAAAATGTAAACATCTGATAAAAAAAAAAAACAATAGAAATCAGATTTACTTGAAAGAAAAAAAGAAGGGAATAAAATTCTAAAAATTATAAAAGAATAGAAACGAAAAAAAAAAAAATAGTAGGATATGATGATGAATTCAAGTGAGTTAGTCTCTTTGCAATCTGATAATAAAACATAAATAAATGTGCAAACTGATAAATCGAAAATTCCTGTCAATTTTTTTTTTAAATATGATACTTCATATTTTGCAAAAAATAAAAAGTAGAAATGAATGAATGTGAAAAAGTTTAAATTAAAAATATATATATAATCGATCGATAACACAATATAAGTAATTGTAGAAAGGATGACAATTGCGCAAGACGAAATCTGAAACCAATGAAGGATTTGAAATGAATTTAATCATTCATTTGGATAGTATTAGCATAAAGTAATAATATTATAAGATAATGAGTAATTAAAAGTAGATGATTTAAATTGTAATTAAAAGTAGATGATTTAAAAATATTAAAAAAATAAAAACATGTAGTATAATATAACAATTATTCATTTAGGATAAATATTTACAATGATTCATACTAATTAATTTATTTATTTTTCTTGTTAAAATTGTCATCTTAGCAATGTCATTAACCAATTACCAAAATATGACAAAATGATTTAGAGTAATCTTAACTAATTAATTAACAAACTAATTAACTAACTAACTAACATTTTTGTCAATCGATGCTTTTACTCTTAAGACGTATTCATTTGAGAAGAACAAAAATACACAGATTGCGCTAATTGATCTACTGATAACAATTTTAATCCTTCGATCTGCTAAATTAATTGATAATCTATAGCTAGACATAGTCAATTATAGAAGATTAATATGAAAAGTTTTCATCAAATTATTATAAATGCTTAAATAATTTTAAAAAAAAAAAGAATTCTTAAAATTTAATGCATAACTATCTTCTAATTCATTATTAATTGTATGCTAAATTTATAATTCAATTTAAATACTTGATTTAAATAAATTTCAATGAATTAAACTAATTAAGTTTAACATTGGAAAAGCGCTCCAAATTATGTAAGATGAAATTAATGGTGAGTTAGAAAGGAATTAAAATTCAATCCGATAAAATCTGAGTCTGTTATATTTATATATAAAAAATTTTAAATATAAGAAAAAAAAAAACATTTATAATCTAAAATGCATAATAAAACGATCAACCATATACAAATTATTAAATGCTAAATTTATAATTCAACATAAATACTTGATAAAATTCAATGATTTAAACTCTAATTTTAATTTAATACTGGAAAGAATGAAACAATAATTAGTTGTTAGAACAATTGATTGAAAGAAAATATTTTAGGAAATTAAAGATAAAAATTGAGTAAAAATTTAATGATTACTTATATTAGTCATTCAATAGTAATAAATAAGAATTTATTATAGTTTTATGAGGCGTAAAAATTGTTTACAAAGCGCAAAATTACATGAAAATCCAATTTTGATATTAACTAACAAAGTAATATGATTAAGATTTCTAACAACGATTGCTTTCTTAATTAATGTTAAATGGTAAAAATGATTAAAATGAAATTCTAATTTCTCAAAAATTTTATTTCATATCAAATTTATCATTAAAAAAAAATATTTCCAAAATAAGCAAAAAAAAAAAAAAATATTGAAATAATTTTTGAGGAATAAAATAGAAACAAGAATGAAGATGAAAGTTCATTTTAAAACCCAAATGATTGACTGATATTATGATAAGTTAAAAATGATCTTCAATCAAAAAGAACCAGTAATAAAAGTAATGCTATCTTTTCGTTTTTTAAATTAAAAAGTATTTAAAAAAAAAAAAATACTTTTGTTGAATAGCAAATAATTTTTGAAAATTTTTTTTATCAGAAAAAAAAAAATTTTTTTCTTTTTTTTGGTTTCTGTTTACTTTCATCTAATATTTTCAACATTTTCAACTTTTCTTTCGTACTATGAAATGTATTACTAAAAAAAAAAATTACATACAAAAAAAAAAAGAAAGAAAATGAAAAGTTCTCGTAAGCATAGATTTTTTCATAGGAAAATCAAATTTGTACTTCTGAAATTCTAAAATTTTTCACTATTTACAAAAAAAAAAAAAAAAACACAAATTTCTTTTTTTTTTTTTTAAATTAATCAAAATTTATTACAGATTATTATTATTTCAAAAATTAATAAATATTTTATTGTTATTACTTAAGGAACATTCTTTTTTTCACGAAAAAAAAATTAAAATCTCTATAACATATCAAACAATAATGTTTACATCAAACGATAAGCATTTCTTCTTCCTTTTTTCATTTCACAAACAAATAAACAATAAATCATTTTGTGAGAAGCTAATTTCAATTTTTATCTCTCTTCCTACTTCATTCTAAAACCACTTTTTCAATAAAAATTTTTTTATTTTAATGTTACATTTCTAGGATTTAAAAAGGAAAAAAAATATGTATGAGAAATTACTTTTTGAACATATTTTATACAATACTTAAAGCAAAAAGTTAATGCTATAAAAAATGACAAATCAAATTTTTTGAAATTATTGAAATGATTAAATCAGAAGTAAACTGTGTAATTGAAAAAAGTTACAAATCAAAAAAAGAAAAAAGAAATTTCAAATTTACCATAAAAGATAAAAATTTAACATAGTCAAAGCAAAAAAAAAAAAAAATTAATTAATTGAAAAAATATTGGAAGGAAATATGATTTCTCGTGTTTTTAATTCAATTTAATTAGATATATTAAATAGAAAATAATAATAATAAATCAAAAATTTAAAAATGAAACAAATGCAAATGAAATTTCACGATGACACAATCAAAACTCTAGCAAATTGTCTCATTTTATAATGTCATTTGCATAATTTATACAGCAAATTTTATAAATATCAATTATAATTAGCATTAAGTTTATATAAATATCATTTAATGTTTATTTGTTATGTATCACTTTTTTTTTAATGTTTATAAACTAACAAAAAACAATAAATAAATGATTACAAATAAGAAAATAAAAAACAATAAAATAAAATAAAAAACTAATTTTGTTGAGTGTTTGCTCTAAAATTTGACTTTTTGACTAGCAATTAATTAAGCAATCCAATAAAATGAATGCTTCGATTAGCAAAACAAAACAAAAAATTTTGTTTTTTTAACCAAATTACCATCCAACATCATCAATAATAATAATAATAATAATAATAATAATAATAATAATAATAATAATAATAATAATAATAATAGTTAGAGTAAAGATTATCAATTAATATCACAAATAGCTAACAAACAAGAAATTTTAAAAAGTTAAGTTTTAAGTTTTTTTTTTTTTGATTAAAAAAATATTAGAAGTAAACAATCTGAGATAAAATTAAGTTAACAGCAAAAGAAAGTTTGAACAAGCATACAGATATGATAATATTTATGAATAAATAAAATAATGCTAATATGAAATTTGCATATAAGCTAATTAATCTTTTTTTGAAGTGCAAAAAATTTATTAATCTATTAATTTTGAAAAATAATTATATTTTATCAGTATCATTAGTAGCTAGAGACAATTTAATAGAATTTATTCTGATAAATTATTTTTTTTTTTATTATTGAAGAAAATAAAAAAAAAAGAAACAATAAATTGATAGCAAATAAATAAATGAGCAAAGAAAGGTAAGAATATTTTAATGAATTTAAAATGATAAATAATTATTTTTATTCCTATTTTTGCCAAACAAGAATGAGATTTCAATTTGTAAAATTTAATCTTTATTTTGCAATCAAAGAAAATAAATTTCTTTCTTCGATAAATTAAAATAGAGATGATTAGAAGATATTTCAAGAACTGAGTAATTTTTTTTTTTTTAAATTGAAGGCTTACTAGGATAATAGTTAATAGCATAAAGAAAAATTTGACAGTTTACAAATTTATTAGAAAACTAATCACAAATAATATTTTACTTGAAGCTTACATAAAAGCAATTAAAAATGAAAACAAATTTTGAATTTTTGTTTTTTCTAGAAATTTCCAATATTTAAAATGAATTACTTTGACATTACTTTACATTAAGATGAATTACTTTGATATTTTTAAATTTAAGCAAAAAATGCAATTTTTTTTATTTTTATAAAAAAAAAATTTAAGCAAAAAAAAAAAAATGCAGTTTTATTATTTTTATAAAAATATAGAACTAAATAGAAAAAAAAAAGAGAATTCCAAAAAATTGGTAAAGTGTAGTAAGAAGAAAAGATCATTTCACCTTTGACCCTGACCATAATAATTTATAAATGTCCCCTTATGATGGAAGGATCATTTTATCTTTGACCCTAATTATAATAATCCACAAATATTCCCTAATTAGGAAAGGATCATTTTACCTTTGACCTCGACCATAGTTATCCACAATTGTTCTCTAATTCATTTATTGTTACTATTTGTTTACTGCTACTATAGTAGTACTACTACAATTATTATTATTTCTAATTATATACAGGTGTATTCCATTTTTTTTTTCATTCTTTTACACTAAATGTAGTATTAAATTAAAAGTTATAAATTAAAATGTTAGATTAAGTAAGTAAAGTTATTAACTTTTAACCTTCATTTTCATCAGTAATCGTTTGTGATTGCATACGTCGAACAGGTGTTGCTGATACAATCAATAAATCATGAAGTTTTGATTTGACATCTTTTTTTGGTTTCAATTTATCAGCTTCAATGCTTGCTTTAAGCTTTTCCATTAGTAATTGTGATTTAGACGGTGGTTTTGATTTTTGAGGTCGTATTGGTACTGGAGCATTTTGAAGTTCTCGTATCGATAGCTAAAATTTTGATATTTCTTTTATAAAATTATATCTATCATTTACTTTTTACTTTACTTTACTTATAAAATATGCATGAAAAAAATAAATTCTTTACTCATTTTTAATAAATAAATCTATTTTAAAATTTTCCAATTTTTTTTTTTTTTTGAATTTAAAACAAAACAAAACAAAAAAAAAAACATACTGGTCTTGGCTTTTTAGGTCTTTCTTTTTTCTCATCCTTTCTGATATTTTCCAATTTTTCTGGTGCTATATTCTTTTGTTGTGAATGTTCTTTCGATTCTAATTCTTTAGTGATAATTGTTAAATTACAATTTAATGATTTATAATTGTTTGATTCGTGCTCTGTTACTTCCGTACTTGTTGTCTATAAAAAAAAATTTAAAAAAAAATTGAACAAAATAATTTAAAATTTTAAATTAAAATAAAAAAAAATTTTTAATTACCAAAAATATAACATAGTATAATGGGAAAATAAATAGATTTTATCATTATAATTATATTTTGAAAAAAAAAAAAAATTTACAACTTACAGGTGTTACAGGTGTTAATTCATGTTCAGGAAGAGTTGTTTGTTCCAATAGATTATGAGATGATTGTTGAGTGTTAACAATGATATCATCTGATAATGTTGAATCAATGCTCATTCTTGATGGTATCCTTTCAGTATGTGATAAGATAATTGGTACTTGTTGAGGTAATTCCGATTCATATGATAATAAATCGGAATGAATAAATTGTGTTATTGGTAAATTAGTTGTAAGCTCAGTGATAGATAAATCCGTTTTGTCCTGATATGGCTGATAATAATTCGTATAGCTACTACTATCTAACAGATAATCATGTTGTTGTTGTTGTTGTTGTAATTGTTGTTGTTGTTGTTGCAATTGTTGTTGTTGTTGTAATTGTTGTTGTTGTTGTTGTTGTTGATAGTGTTGTGAATCAGTATTAGGAATATACTCCACTAATGGTGTGGATAAATTGTCATCCACGATCGGAAGACGATCAACTCCAATACGAGATTCCTCAAGCACTAGACTAGTGTTTACTGTAAAAAATGAATGTTTAAAATTTATTTATTGCATTTTAAAATATTAAATTTAGATAGAAATTAATAATTCATATTTTAAAAATTTTTCTAAATTATTAATTGTTAGAAAAAATTTTTTATTCTGAACAATGAAAAACAACGAAAACATTCAACTGAAAATTTTTGATTTTTTTTTAAAAAAAAAGTTTTTTATAAACTACTCAAATAATTTTTATTCTTTTTCATTTTTCAGATAATTCTCAAAAAAAAAAAAATTTTTTTTTCATTATTTAATGATTTAATGAAAAAAACTAAAAATTTAAGAATTTTTAAGAAAATATTGTTTACGTAAAATAATACGAAAACGATTAGAAAAAAGAAAAAAGAAATGATTTTTTCGTAAAAAAAAAAGATTTTATTTTGTTTGTTTTTAAAATGTTTTGTATTATTTGTAGAATGAATAAAAGATTCGAATTATACATAATTAGTAAAAATTTAATTTCATAAAACAACAATTATTATTCATTTTTTTTAATATAATAATTAAAACATTTTTTAAACGGAATATATTCCTTTCACAAATTTAACTGTCAATTTTTTTTTAAAAAAAAATTTGAATGTTTTAGAAAAAAAAAAGTGTTTTTTTTCAACTAAATTATCAAACTTTCACAACTTATCTAGTTTTTCTTTTTTTTTTTTAAATTTAAATAGTTTTGAAAGAAAAAAAACCTTTTTCAACCAAACTATCGGATAGCAATTCAAACCAAAATATTGCAAATATGATAAATACCATTTGTCATTTTTAAATCCCTTAGGAATTTTCAATCAATTCAAATTTTCTCAGCAATAACACTTAAACGTATTTTCTTACATAACATTGAAATATTTTATGAACAAATTTAAATTTATTCAAAAATTTTTAGAATTATAGAAATTTCGAAAATTTTCAAATAATTAAATTATAAGATTTAGAAATTTTACAACAATTAAAATGTTTTCTTTTTTTTTTCCTCTCCCATCTCTCCCCCTTCTCTTCTTTTTTTTTAAAAAAAATATTATTATAAAAAAATTAATCAAAAATTTGCGTTGAATTATTAAAAGTTGAAAATAAAAATTTTAGAATTAAAAAAAAAAAAAACATACATGTCGGATATGATATGTCATCGTCAAATTCAATAAGTTCATTTGGACATTCGATTTCTTCCAGTAACTGATAATTACTTCGGCCTATCTAAAATTTCTGATAAAATAAAAATAAATAATAATAATAATAAAAAATGATTCAAAATCATTACATCAATTTTTCGTTTAAATAAAAATTATCAATGAGATTATAAATTTTATAAAAAACAAAATAAACATTGTTTTTTAATAGTAGCAACAATTAACATTTAATAACCTAAAAAAAAACATTAAGTATTAATTAATTTAAAATTTCTTTAGTAGGAAATATTCATTTTATTTTTCACTAAATAATGAATTGGATCTTTTTTTTTTTTTTGAAATGTCAAATTTCTTGATGCATAAATATTTGTCTTTAGTTTAAATTTATGATTTAAAAATTAATAAATTTGATGTTAAGAGTAAGTGTAGTAAATATTAATTGTTTTCTAATTTTGGAGTTATCAGGTTTATCAGGTCAATTAACAATATATTTCAAGAATTTGCTGAACAAAAAGAAAAAAGGAAAAGCAATTTTCCGGTGATTTTAGTAAATAATTCACCGGGGCGGTAATTGTATAAGTTGCTTGTGAATTGACCATTGCATCACTGTTCCAACTGCCACTCATCATCTATAATTTTAGGTTAACTCTTATAGTGACAAATCAGTTAGGCCAGTTAGTAATTTCAGGTTTTTCCAAAAAAAAAAAAATTAGAAATTCGGGTTAATCAATAAATAATGTTTCAAAAAATTTAACCACTTTTTCCGCTTATATTTTATGATAAGCTTTTTTTTAATATATCAAACTAATTTAGAAAATAATGAATGAATGAAATGAAAGATCGAAAAGTTTAACTTGAAACTGATTAAAAATAAATATAAATAAAATTGATAAAAAAAGAGGAAATTTCCAAAAAAAAAAAAAAAAAAATGGGTGATTTTGAAAAAATGGTTGAAAGGAATGAAATATTTAATAATTAAAATTTTGTGAAAACTTTTTCAATGAAATAATTTTAATGTTAACACTACTAACATAAACATTTAGCTTTTCATAAATTAGAACCACGAAATGATTAATTAATTCATTAATTTCAATCAACAGAAATGAATTTTGCAAATAAATCATTAACAGTGAGAAATAATAATTCAATTAAATTCAAAATTTTATCCTACAAAATTTCATTTCATTAAATGTTATGAATTCTTATTAATATCATTTTAATATTAATGCAAATTAATGCAAAATGTTAAACACAAAATAACATTTCAGAAGTAATAAAAAAAAATTCGAAATTCTGAAAAAAAAATTTAGTTTATTATTTAACAAAAAAAATATTTGATTAAAAATTTTTTTTCATTTTAAAAATGGATTAAACAAATTTTAGTAAACATAATTTTTTTTTTTGGGCAAAAAAAAGAAAATTGAAAAAAAAAAAGAAAAGAAAGAAGAAATGAATGTAATGTGAAAAATATATAAAATAAATTATCAGAAAAAAAAAATTTTCTTTTTAAAAAGGTATCTATAATGATCGAAATGTAAAACTGAAAAGAGGAAATATCAGTTGAAACCGGTTAATTCGTTCTCGTTATCACTTCCCAAACAATCGATCATGACAACACTTAATCAGAATCACAAAAGAAAATAATAAAACACTTTGAGACATTATAGTTCCATATAAAGTGTCATTACTTGCAAATATTATCAACTAAACTGATAAGAAATCAAAAATCAAATAAAAACTTTTTGTAATTTTCACTTTACAACGTATCATTTTAATTTCTTATAAACTAACAGAATAGTAAATATAATTGTTAAAAAAGATAAAAATTATTTAATACTAACTAATATGTTTATTTAGAAGTTGTGATATTTATTTTAAGATACGTGATATCAAGAGACGTAAAATACGTGACACCGTTTTTTTTTTTTTTTTTTATTTTTGTTTTTTTTTACCGGAATTATCAGATATAAAATTATTTATATTATTTCAATAATACTTAAACTATATTGAAAGATTTTATAAATAATTTCCTCAACTATTCTTCCTATTTATTTAAATATCATCAAAAATTACTCTTTCATCTAAATTAAATTAGTCATTATATGACATATCAAAATTCCACATATATCTTTAGAACATTTTTAAAATTAATTAATTAAAACAGAATAATTGCCGAAAAAAATATATTTATAAATGGCCATTATTGAAATAAACAAAAGTTTGTTTGTTTTTTTTTTTAAAACATTAAGGAAAATTCAAATATAACGATTGGTTTATTTATTATTATAATTTCTTTTTATGATTTTATCATCTCGTTCTATCATATTGTTTAATTTATAAAATTATTTTTTTTTTTACTAATTTATGAAACTAATAATTAAATTAACCATAGAGCGATCGAGAATAGATGAAGAGCCAAATGAACTGATTGAAGTCATACTAATGTCCATAGATGGTACTGTTGCCGATTGTACTGTCCGATCTTCTGTTGACATTATCATATCACCGCCAGCAATTGCCGGAATTGCTGATCGTACTAACTTCTAAAAAAAAAAACGAAAATATTGCTTTATTTCACGAAATGAATGAAATATGATCAAATACGGTTAATAATTTATGATAAACCGGGTTAAACTGGATCAGACGTGGTTGATAAGTTATAGTAAACCGGACTGAACCGGATTAGACGTGATTGATAAGTTATAGTAAACCGGATTGAACCGGATCAGACGTAGTTGATAAGTTGGAGTAAACCGGGTTGAACCGGATCAGACATAGTTGATAAGTTGTAGTAAACCGGGTTGAACCGGGTCAGGCGTGATTAATAAGTTATAGTAAACCGGATTGAACCAGATCAAACATGATCGACAATTTATAATAAAGCTAATTTATGAAGTGTCATCAAAAAAAGTCATTGTATTTCTTACATTTAAATATGCATATATGTAATTTAAATCTATTAAATCCTTAAAAAAAAAAAAAAAAAAAAAAACGAAATGGCTAATTAATAACTTAATTCAAATCAATAACATTATAATGTAGACATTACATCATATAATGTTCAAAAATTTATTTCCAAAAAAACAATAAAAAAATAGTAATTTATGAGAAACATCGATTTCAATTGTAGTATTACTAGTTTGTGGAATATAAATCTATTCTGATCAGGTTTCCTGATAATAATTATATTATCAAAATTGATATTTTTAATGAAATTAAAAGTTTTTTTCAAGAATGAACAATATGGATTAAAGGTTAAAAAAAAAGATTTGATAGGATAAGTGCATTAATCATTATTAAACTAAAATTAATATCATTATAAGAGAAGCTATAATAAATAGCACATGATTGCTATTTAAAACAAGTTTCAAATTAAAAATCATTTCATTCTTGTTTATTTAACAAACTCCCACAAAATATAATCCTAATTCTTTTTATCCTACCTACAATAGTCATAACTAATTCAGGTGTAAAAAAAATTAAATTATGCTACTAAAATTTCATTTAAAAAAAAAAAAAGGAAAATGGGAGAAAAAAGAAATGAAATGGCAAAATGTTAGAATGATTTATTTGAAAATAAATTTTTAAATTTGAATTTCCCAGCATTCAAATTTGGTAAACAAAAAAATTGTGAAAAAATTTGTTTGTGATAATTTCATGAGAATGCTATTTAAATTATAGTTGTGAAATGTCATCGTTTTTTTTTTTTATTTTAAATTTTTTTTAAAGAAAAAAATTCAAAAAAAAAGACACAAATTGTAAATTCTTCATAAGAATGAAAAAAAAGTAAATATAATTTTTATACACTTATACTTACAGCTTAAGTGATAATCAAATAATTTAATTGCAAATTTAAATTTAAATTAATTTCATTCAAAATAAAGCTGAGAAAAATTGAAATATTTTAAAAAATTTACAGATATTACAGACATTTTATTCTTCGTAAAAATGATATATCACTTAAAAAGCAAAACTTTTTAAGTAATTTCCTTCTTGTTAACATATATTCATTATTAAATCAAAATTGCTCGTTACTTCTAATAAAGTTAATTATATTTAATATAATATTTATCAATTATTAAAGTGATAAAATTAAAAGAAAAAAAATGTGAAAACAAGAATAGCCAATAATAATAATAATAATAATAATAATTACAAAATAAATAGATTACAAATTAATAGCAATAAGAAATAATTCAAAAATTGATACAAGCAATCAATAAATCACTAATTGATATCAGTAATCATTTAACTGATTGATAACAATAATAATCAATAATCATTTAATTTAATTGCTATGAAACACAAAAAAAAAACTTTGTTTAAATTTTTGTTTAGATTTCAAAAAATAAAGAAAAAAAAACACATATCTTTCTAATAGTAATTTTAAACAAACTGGAAAAAAACAACAAAGAAAACTTTCTTCTTTCTTTCATTCTTGAAAAAAAAGAACAAAATTTTCAATACTTATAAACTGATGAATGAGTTTTAAATAACATTTATTAGCTTTTAAGCTTAAATCTTCGGTTAGCTTTTTGTTTTTCCACAAAATCAAAAGTGAAATGTTGCTGTACTTTTGATAACAAATGATAACAAATGAGTAAAAAAAAAAAAAAATAAAAATAAAAAAAAAACTTGTTGTCAAGAAGTTTATTATGGTTTTTTTTTTAAAAAAATTTTATAAGTTAATTTCCATTTCCTAAAAGAAAAAGACAATGTTTCGAGAATAATTATGTAAGATTGATTAATAAATTAAAAAGAATGAAAATAGATAAAAAATGTTATTCTTTTTGACCTCCAATAATGTTTGAATGTAATAGAATTGACTAGAAAAAATGTTATAATTTTTAGTCATTAAAAAAAAAAAAAAAGATTCATTGATTATAATTCATTAATTATAATTTTAAAACTTTTCAATTGTAAAATTTCTTTGACTTCTAATAATAGGAAAAAGAAATCATTAAATTATAACTTTAAAACCTTTCGATTGTGAAACTTTTTTAAACTCTAATAATAAGAAAAGGAATCATTAAATTATAAAATTGAAAACTTTTTAATTGGAATATTTTTTTTTTTTTTTTGAACACTAATAATTTAAGTAAGTAAAACTAACAGCTTCACGTTTTACTAATTTTGGTACTTGTTGTAATAATTCCACTTTATAAGAAGGCGCAAATATGCCATGTTGTGGCGCACAATGAAAATATGCAATACCTTAAAAGAATTAATTTTTAGAATTAATTTTTCTTCTTTCTTTTTTCTCCTAAAAATTGCACAAAATTATTTTTAAAAAGTACAAAGAAAATAATAAATTGATCATTCAAATAATTTAAAATAATATTGTGGAAAAAGAAAAATTGCCACAAAAGAATGATTACATTATCTGAAAGTATAATCTTAAGCAAAATGTTGAATAATTTCAAAATATTTGCATTTTTTAATGAAAATTTAATTTTAATTCATATTTTTTCTTTCAAATTCAAATTCAGCTTTAAAATATCTTAAAAATGACATAAAATTAGCATTGAAAAGTTGAAATTAGTAAGCAATTTTTTGCATTAGAAATTTATGAAACTTCGTCGTTTTATCAATTAATTAAAATTTAAAAAACTGGAATATATCATTTTTTTTTAATATTTTAATCATTTTTTTTTTCAAAAAAATTAAAATAACAAATAATTTGGGTTTAGCTTAAAGATAAAATCTTATGTCTAAATTTTATTTGCAATGAAATTTAAGATAATTAATTGGATTAAAATGTAAGTACTAGTTAAGCATAAATTAAGAGTTAATGCAAAAACTAGTTTTATAAGTATCTAATTAGCTGACAAAATAATTATATCCGAAATGAAATTATTGCTAATTGGAAAAGTCAGTGACATATTAAATTGCTACAAAAAAAAAAAAAAGAAATTATGCTTATACTAAATTAAAAATAAGACAAAAAAAAAAGTAAAATTTAAAATAAAAAATATTTCAGATCATTTCATTAATTTTTAATATTTCTCGTCTCTTTTACATTTCCCTTACATTCAAATATATTCAAAAAAGTTAAAAAAAAGTAGAATTTTTCACCAATCATTTCGAGAAATCATTTAATTATTTAATAAGCTAATAACAGTTATATTTTGAAATAATTATTTCAATTTTATTGTAATAATTATTTAACAAAGAATTTCACTGCTTTAATTAAAATTTCATTTCAGAGTAATAATTTTTATTTTCCAATTCAATTTCTGAATTTAAAAATTCTAAAGAAACCATTTGCACATTATTTGCTTCAATTTTATAAAAATATTTTAATATTGAATAATCATTTAATTTAAATTAGAAAAAACATTCTTACTTTAGTAATACTTTTAATGATGAATTATTCATTCTATCAAACAATAATGCAAAAATATATAATTGTCAAAATTTGAATTTGTTCAAAATATTATTCAATTTTATGATTTATAAATTTTTTCTAAAAATTTATTTAAATTATTAAAAATATGAACAAACCTTGATAGGTACCATCATGCTTTCCTTCAGGACGATCCAATTCAATACCACAGAAAATACCTGTCTTACCTTCTACCGGACCAACATACATTAATGTACCGGAACCAACTCGTCCTACAATTACTTTCTTTCCCACATCTCTCTTACTGATCAATTCACCTTCGTTTGAAGCCTAAAAATATGCAAATTTAAGAAATAGCACATTTAAGATGTAATTTATTAAATAGCAAATTCTCTTGCAAAATATTTATTCATATAAAAATATTAAAAATATGTTAGAATAAGAAATGTTAAAAAATTAATCATTTTAATCAGAAATACCTGAATCATATGATAGTTTAATAAAATCCGGAAGAAAAAAAAAAGGGATCTGAAGTTGATAGTATTTCCTGATTTTCCTGATTTACTGAGAAGACAACGAAATAATGAAAGAAAACAGGATATAAGTGATGATCATGTAAATAATACCTATGTGACAAATGAGAAGTTGCAAAAAGATTTCCTCCAGAAAAACCAGTTGATATTAACTTTTTTATTTTTAATACATTAATAATGATAGTAGTATCATTGGTATATTCTTTTGCTTTAAGATTTTAAGATACTAAAATTTAAATCGATCCAGAATTTAAAATCTATCTGGAATAATTATATATAAAATTGCTTGTTCAATTTATCAGTGTTAATTTATCAGTGAAAAAAAAATGATAGTGATTGAAAAGAATGAATAAATCAACAAATCTCAGGACAATATTGATAATTTGAAAAATTGATCGCTATCAGACTATCACATTATCAGTTTTAGACCGTAAAAGAGACCGGAAGGGAAATTGACGAATAAACAATTGAAATAAATATTAATAAAATATTTCACATTTAAATGTCAAAACTATGATAAAAATTAGCCAAGAAGTATCATTTTGAAACTGTTTGGTTAATTTTGTTTATTCTGAAAAAAAAAAAAAAACAAAAACAAAATCAGTAATGAAATAAATTAACTATCAGAAGTTTATCAATAAAGTAATATCTCATAAATTTTGATAGTGATACAGCTATGTAATATGTTATTACCTATGAAGAAAGTAATACTAATGATATATTATGATGCTTTAAATGAGATAAAATCAGTAAGTACTTACTAAATTTTAAGTAAGTACTTAAAATTTAACAAATTTGTTTACTCAATGCTGCAATGAATTAATTTCAGCATAGTAAGATTACTTTTATAATTGATAAGATTCATCAAAATTAAAATTATCAATTAAAATCAATAAATTTACCTTATCACTTGCCGATTTATACATTTGTAAGTTATCAATTCTTGGCCACCATAAAATGCTACAAATATGTAAATTTACACATATAATTGAAATTTTTTTTCAAAAAAAAAAACACAAACACAGATATCTTAGCAAAATTGAAAAGAAAAACTATGACAAAAGCGCCTTATTGTGTTAATCATTTTATCAGATAAGAAGCAATCAAAGTTTATCACCAGTAAATGAACAAATAAATAAATGATAAAGGAAGAGAGTAAAATAATTTGAATAAAAAATAAAAAAAAAAATGAAATAGTTAGAATGTAAATTTAAATTATTTGAAATTAATAACTGAAAAGGTTTTTAAAGATTAAGAAAACAAAAGGAATAAATCATTGTTGTTTTGTTAAAAAAGAAAAAAAAAAAAACGAAAGCATAAACAATATTCCAAGTGAGTTAAGCAGAAAATGGAAATCGATTTCCGAAGTAGTAGTAAAATATATTATTATTACTGCGATGTCAAATGTTTGTTTATTGCCGGCTGTCACATGAGGGTAACCAAAGGGGGAGTCTTAATTGTTAAATTTAATTGAAAATTAAAATTTAAATAAGAGATGAAAAAATATGCTTTGAAAAATTAATTATAAAATTAATTTAAGTGCAGAAATGAACAAACTGAACAAAGAATTTTTAAATTGAATTTTCAGTTGAACAAACAAAATTCAGTTTTTAGTCAAAATTTTTGCTTTACAACTAATGAAACTAAGTTAATAGAATTAGAAAAAATAACTAATAAAATGTGAGAAATATTTTTTTTTTTTTTTTTTTTAGATATTTAATAAATTCTTTTAATGTAGAAAAATCATTTCAAAATTTGATTACTTCAAATAATCTCTAATGAACCAATTCATAGATTTTATGGTTAGACTGAAAATGAGATTAAATTAACTTGAAAAGGTTAAAACTAAAATTGAAATTAAGTCTAAGAAAAAAAAAAACAAAATTGCAAATGTTGAATAAAATTATATAAAAATAAATTCATATAGGCAAAAAAATGAAGTGTTATATAGTTGAAAGTGTAATTTTTTGCTCAGATAAGATACTTAGGCAGCTTGATTAAGACTAGGCTTAATTTTTATTAGCTTTATTATAACTAGGCTTAATTTTTATTAGCTTTATTATAACTAGGCTTAATTTTTATTAGCTTCATTTTGCAAATTAAGAAAGAAAAACAATATGTCAAATTTAATTAAGACTTGAAAAGATGGATAAGAATGTAAGCCTAGCTAATGGACCAGGCACTATTTACATATAAGGCCTCTAATAGAGGAAGTCAGACAGATCGATTGTTGCCAGCTGAATGAAGAATGATGCATGGAACATTGTAGTGGAGAGGAACAGACAGAAAAACAAATTTGATATAAGGAGTAAAATGTTAGACATACATGTGCATGGCCAATATTTGTTACTTTTCTATGCTTTTTGTCCGAAGGATTGGTACAACGATCGGAATTATTTCACAGCAAAAAATTTTTGTTCAATTTAAATTAAATTAAATAATTTCAATAAGTAAATTATTTATCGGTAAATCACTTAAAAAGTAACTTTTGTTTTTACTTTTTTTTAATTTAAATTAATTGAATAATTTCAATTGGTAAAGTATTTATTAACAAACACTTAAAAGGGTAACTGTTTTGCGGATTCGTTTTCCGGATAATTTTATACGGATGACATAATGGAGACCAAATATTTGAATATTTCCCTTTTCAATAAGATTGTGCAAAAAAAAAAGACATTATAAAGTATATATGAAATTAAAGTTTAATTTTAATCTAAATTAAAAGTTTAATAATTTTAATAAATAAAATTAGCATACATACAAAATGATAATTTATTAAGTAAGAATGAAGAAAAAAAATATCAAATAGTAATTGATAGAATAAAAATAGTTGAAATAAAATCAGTAAAAAAAAAAAAAAAAAAAATTCTTCCGATATTTTAACAATTCGCTTAAAACTTTTTTCCTTTTTTATTTAGGAAAAAAGCTTTTTTCCTTTTTGTTATTATTTTTCTCATTTTTCATTAATTGCAAAATAATTTAAATAATTAGAATAATATCTTTCATAATATTTCAATATACTTTTAAAAAATACATTATTTTTTTTAAAAAAAAAAAGAAATGAATTTTAATTGAAACACTTTTATAAAATTTCCCTATCACATTTAATAATTTAAAATTAGCAAAATGATGAATAGACAATAATTGATATGAAAATAAACAAATGAAGTCTTATCAACATTTATTTGATTTAATTTTGATAAAAATGAATGATAAGCTTATAAAATGATTGTTGATGAAAATAAAATTGGAAATTGGATATTAAAATTCAACTGAATTCAATTTTATTTTGGTTAAAGTATTATATTGAAAGATTTCTCTGGAGAATTTAATAGCTTATACAAATTTTTGCTTAGCATTTTAATCGATAAAAGCATATACAATGAAAATTTTTATAACAATTTTAATTCCTTCCTATAATAATTGCAAGTGCTATAATATCACAATGATTGATTTAAAGAAATATTTTTTAAATTTTAATTTGAAAATTTTCAAAGTAATTTATTAAATTTGTAATCAAATCAAAAATATAACTCTATTCTAGGAATATTTTTGCTAATTTTAAAAAAAAAAACAAACAAACTTTTTTTTGCCTTTTTTTTTAGCAAAATTTTTGTAATATTTTTAAATTAACAGATGATAGAAGTAATCTTAAAAATTTTATTTGAAAAGTTTTAAAGTTTTGATAATTTGATATGCATATACATGGAATTTTTTAATCATTTTATTAAAAAGATTACGCCATAAGATAATAATTTCAAATAATTTTAAATTTGAGGAAAAATTCAAATAAAATTGAGTGAAATAGGAAAATAAATAAAAATATCATCAAATAATTAATATTTAATTTTACAAATATTATTACCACAATCTTATGCTATATCAATAGAAATTATTCATTCAATAGTACTTATTTACTTAATAATAATAGAAAATATTTATTCAATAAATAAATATAATTTAAAAAAAAATTAAAGCATAATTTAATTTTAGAAAAAAAGAAATTATAACAAATATAATTTAGAAAAACACATTAAAACAGTATTTCAATTCAAATAAAATTGAATGAATTAGGAAAATAAATAAAAATATCATCAAATTCAACAATAATTTATTTTTCCCTAATAAACAACGTTTGTTAATTTTTTTTATTAACATTATCAGTTATCAAAATGCTGATTTCAAAAAAAAAAAAAAAATTATGAAAACAAAACAAAAATTATAAAATTATAACAGTTAGCATAATTAGCCTAAAAATTCCAGAACAAATAATACTTTGGCTAAAATGAAGAGTTATAATTCAATTCAATTAAGAATTTATTATATTAATATCAAAGATTTCATTTAAATATTTGATTTTTTAAATATAAAAAATTAAAACTGATAGAGTAAGAAATTTTGAAATAACTTTGAAATATTTTTCTTTCTAAAAAATTATATTTATAAAGAATGAAAAAGACTGAAAAAGACTTTCGTTTAAATTTTTTTCTTTTCATGGATAAATCCTGAAATGCTGACATATCCTCAGCTTCTCTTTTATTGATTTCATTTTCTTGAAAAAGTTGTCCAAACATCGATTTATCGATTTTGTTTTTTTTTTTTTTTCATGTAAAAGCTTTTTAAGGCTTTAATTTGAAAGCCTATTATGTTAACAGGCACTGCTATTACTAGTCTAATGCATTAGTAATTTCAAATTATTATTCCAACCTTTTAAGTATGTAAGTAATTGCTACAATAAGTAATTGTAAGTAATTACTTTTAGTATATTTAAGTATTTATCATAATTTTTTCATCTTTTTCATGCAAAAGCTTTTAAAACTTTTATTTATGTAAAAAAAAAAAAAAAAAGCTATAAAACTATTTAAAAAAAAATAATTCATTAACTTTCTGCTAGATTTTACTCATAAAAAAATCATAAATAGTTTAATTCAAAATTTCTTTCATTTAATTTTACTTTAAAATTTATTCATATTAAAGTTGTAAATGCTTTAGTTGTTCATTGGGATAAAATTTATGTTACAAACAAAAAATTTTCCATTTATTCATCTTTATACTTGTGAAATTTTAATTAAACGAAGATAAGGTAAGGTAAGGTAAGGTAAAATTTTTTAATAAAAAAATGTCTAATGAACCATTTTGCTATTGAAAAATTTATTCATACATTTTCCCGAATACTTTTATCAAAAAAATTTTTTTTAACTCTAATAGCATGAAATTAAACAAAAACAAAAAAATACTAGTCAATTAAATTTTATTTAAAGTTTACATTGATAAACAGCCAACAAAACAATTTTCCTTTTTCTTTGATAACTAAAATTGAAAGATTCGTTTTATCAATTTTGCACTTCTGTTTTTCTAAATAACAAATTTTTGAAATTTTCACTTCAATTTTATAATCATTTATGGAGGGAAAAAAAAAAACAAACAAATAAATAAAAAGAAAACCAAATAAACAACAACAACAAATCAATTATATAAATTAAACAAAAAGAGTACTATATATAATTTCAGATATTAAGTTTTATTTTTAAATTTCACTAGTATATATGCTAACTAGTTTAATGCATTTTATTTAGGGAAAATTTTCCTTTTTTGCATTATAATTTAACAAATGTATTGACCTTTAACCTGTAAACCTGTAAAAATCAAATATTAAATAATTTTTTTTTTGCACAATCAAATAACATCCATGAAGAAATTTAAGGAAGCATTGAAATATTCTCGATCACGAATTGATAAAACATTCTCGCTGTAATTGCACCAATTTAATATTCCATTTGTTACCAATGTTTCAGATATTTGTGATCTAAAAATTCTCAAATCAAAAAAAAAAAAAAAACAATGAAATGAAATTGAAATTAAAATTACACATACATAGCAAAATAATTTTTAGAAAAAAAAAAATTTCGAAGTTTCCGTTTTTTTTTTGCGAGGTAAATTTTTATTTCACAAATTTACACTTTTACAATTTGTATTACTGAAAAAAGTAAAAGTAAGTGTTATTTTTTTCAAATTTTGATAAATTGTTTATAAGTAAATGAAAAAAATTGATCAATAAATTAATAAAATTATGCAAGAGATTGACAATAAAATTATTTTTGTAAAAAATGAAATTAAAAAAAAAAAAAAAAAATGATGATATACCCGAGAAAAATAGCCCAAACATCATGTACCAACCATGCGTTATCTGTATCACGTACGTCCGTTACTGGTACACGTTTTACATGTGCTACACCATTGTTTGTTTCACCAACATTTAATAAATTTTGACTGGATAAAACCTATAAAATATTTAAATAAATAAATTTATTCAAAAGTAAATTAAAAGTTGTATAAGTAAATTCTATAACATTATTTTTTAGCAAAGCTAAATATTTTGATCATTTCATATGAGTTAAAACTTTATCCATAAAGAAATAAAAAAAAAAAAAAAGGATTTTTAATAGGTAAATGAAAAAAAAAATATAAAAAGTAACATTTGCGCATTTTAAATTTTAACTTAGAACATATGAAATAGTTATATTTTTCAAAAGTTACTATATTTTTCATCGTTCTATCGGATATAACTTTATTTTTAACATATTTTGTTGAAGAAATTACATAGAAATAATTCTTCAAAAATTGATATAATTTAAAATTTATGTTTTTGCTTCTTTTTTTTTAAAAAAAGTTTTATTGTTTTTACTTACTTGAATATCTGCATTGCTTAATAGATTATTTCGAAGAATTAATTGAAGTTCTTCATCATAATGACCATTGCTTAATCGCCAACGAGTTGGAAATGTATTTCCTTCTAGTAAAATCTAAAATTTGAATAAAATAAATTTTAAATAAAATTAAATGAAATTGAAAAATTTTCGATTGAACAAATTATGCAAATACACGAATAATGTGCATAAAATCATCTAAAATCATACGTAAACAAAACATTGTTATTAGATATTAAAAATTATAAAAAATAAATTATAAAATAATTTATAAAAATTTATTATAAAAATTATAAAAAAAAAAAAATTATAAAAATTAAAAAGAAAAAGAAAAAAAAAACTTAAAAATAAATTACCATTAAATGATTATTACTGATTTTTCGTATTAAAATGTAAACATTTAGTAAATTAGGGCCAAATTTTAAATAATTTCCACGTCCGGCAATACCTTGCCGACCATTTGGATTCAGTGGTAAACCGGATGCATCAACCGTAAACGGTAATGAAAACTGGAATAATTCCAACATTTTATTTTGTTGCCATCGTTTCCAGTATTTTCGTAGTAAAACTAAATTCTGAAATTTAAACTTTAATTTCATTATCTTTCAAAAAAAAAAAAAAAAAAAAGAAAGAAAAAGATATTTTATTAAAGTAAATAGAAATCTAAGAAATGCTTTTCACAAATTAGCAATTAGCTTAGTGTTACTTTCATTTTATGCATTAATAAATTTAATTACTCATTTAATTTGAATAAATTTAATTAATTATTTAATTTGCATAAATTATTTAATTACATCTGTTGTTGAAATATCCACATATTTTTGCAGATCATTTGAAAATTCATCAACAGATTTGCAATAAAATGGTGGACAATAATTGAATATTAGAATTTGAAATGATCGATATTTTTCTGTAATTAACAATTTTCGAATATTTGTTATTTGATCATATGGTATAGTTTCAAATGAATTATTCCATCTATCATTTGTATCTGAAAATAAATATAATTTTATTATTATTATTTTTTTTTTTGATGGAAAGAGGGAATAGAATAGAACAATTAATTAGCATTTGTAAAAATTAAATTTGAAGAAATATTGAAATACACAATAAACGTTATAATTTTTTTAAATACTATAAAAAAATTATAAAAATGTATATTATATATACATACAAAATATTAAAAAAAAATTATATATATATATGTAAAAAAAAATATTATAAAAATTAATTTTTAATAAAATGATTAACATACTTTTAGAAATGATTGAAAAATACTGTGATAGAGTTAGCAATGGAATTTGTTCCTGTAACTGATGTTTACCATTGGCATATTTTAAATTAATATCTGAATTAGTTGATGATTTGATCATAGTTTCATTCCATAAATTTATAGATTTCATCTAAACAATCAAAAAAAAAAAAAAATTAATTATTTCTATAATTTGCAAAAGAATAGAATAATAAATGTAAGACAAATAAATAAATAAATAAATAAACTTCTTTTGTTGTTTTGAAAAAATTTGAATAGAATTAGAAAAAAAAAAAAATTTGATGAAAAAAATTAGCAAAATGAATTTTTTAGAAAATAAGCAAAAATGAAAATTAGGTTTAGAAAATTAATCAATTTACAATATAGCATTGAATAATGATAATAAATTAAAATTTTACCCTAAATTCGGAATCCAAATGTGTACATCCGATTGTAAATTTATTTCTATTTGTATTATTAGCAAATTGATTTACAGTGGTATGTAATTTTGAAATTTGTTGATTATGAACAATATCTGGATGATCCAAATTGATCAGATTTGAAGTTTGATAGGAATTAAGGAAGCAACCAGATGTACGACAACATGTGACACCAACAAAGAACATTGGTGTAAGTGGTGGTGGTAATGAAGGACGAAACCTAATTTGAAAAAGAACAAAAAAAAAAAAAAAGAAAGAAAAATATAATAAAACATTTTTGTTTGTTTAAATTAAAAAGGACATTTGCGCTTATTTTAATTATTTATAAATTGAATAATAATATTGTTAAATTAGTATAAATTAAATGAATGTTGATTAACAAAGTTTAGATAAAAAAGAAAAACAAATATTCTGCTAATTGACATTCTCTTTCTTTTTTTTTTTTTTTTTCAAAGTTATAGAAAGTAAGAAGTAAAGATTTAAATATGATAGTATACTAAAAAAAAAAAAAAGAAAATATAGATTATTGAAATGTAAAAATATAAATTGAAAATGTAAGATGAATAATTTAATCATAAATAATTTACCTTAAATCTTCAACCAATGAATAAAGTTGATATTTCCAAATTTTATCAGCTTCATTATCAACTTCTTTGGCTGTTTTAGAGAATAGCGCAAAAAGAATTGGCCAACAGATTAGCTTTAGAATAATAAAATATTCTAAAACTGCTAAATGACCAATCCAATTTTGACTTGGACAATTGTAATCACTAAAACCACCAATTGCAGTGCAATAATCACGATTATGATAATCATCAACATATGTCTTCTTACAATATTCTGATTCTTGAAGCTCTGTAACAAAAAAAAAAAAATTAAAATTAAAATTAAAATTAAATAAATGAAAATGAAAAAAAAATTAAAAGTGAATTTCTTAAAATTAATGAAAAACAAATTTTTTTTTTCTTCTGCAGAGCTTTTTTTGTTGATTTAAAAAAAAAAAGGAAAATTATAAAAATTTGCTTTATTTCAAAATGTTATCTTAATAATATTCTAATTCTCGATATTCTACAAAAAAAAAAAAGTTGTTAATTTTGAGCAAAATTTATTAAAATTCGCATTATTTTAAAATTATTTCAATGCATTATTTCAAAATTACACATGCATTTAAATTTTAGTCATAACTTTAGCATTATGTATTTCAAATATATTCAAAATTCAAAAATTAAATTCAATCTTTTCCTTTTTTCTTTTTTTTTTTGCCATATTTCAGATAATTTTAAAATTGTATTATCTAACTGATAACTATGGTAAATTTTAAATTAATGTATATAAGAATAAAAAATTATGATAATTATTTTGAGAAATAAATGAAACAGAAATAAGTTACGATCGTATTGAATTTGAAATAATGATAGCCAAGCCCATGAAAATGCTTTTGAAATGAATAAAAATGTTAAAGCCTGATCCGGATACAGTAATGAACGAACTGCTATTGCACTACTGTAATTTTGAAATTATTTTTAAAAAAAAGAAATGTGAAAAGCATCAATCAATAATTATAATAATTTGTTGAAAAAAAAAAATAAAAATTTCACTAATTCAATTACAATCATTGAAATTCATAATTTAATTGCTGATAAACAATTTTGATTAATTAAAACTAAATTATCACTGTATTAGTAAATTTATCACATATGGAATATATGAGAAAGGCATCAATCAATAATTATGATAATTTGTTGAAAAAAAAAATAAAAATTTCACTAATTCAACTACAATCATTGAAATTCATAATTTAATTGCTGATAAACTATTCTGATTAATTAAAACTAAATTATCACTGTATTAGTAAATTTATCACATATGAAATATATGTGATTCACAAACCTTCCAATAATTAAAGCAATGAGTATTAAAAAATTGAAAAAATCTCTGATAATCATAAGTTTAATTCGTACGACAAATGCGCCAAATGTTTGTGATAATGGAACAAAGTAAAATAATGTTGAATAGCATAAATAAAGTAATAAAAATGCTGATGCAATTCGATTAGCATATGGTATATGAAATGGCTAAAAATGAAGAATGAATTTGAAATTATTGTCAAATTTTTAATAATTTATAAATTTTTAATAAATAAATATTATTGATTTAATACAAACAAATTTGTTTAAATAGTTTCAAAGCTAATAATTATTGAATAATTATTAAAAATTATTAAATTTTCAAATTTTTATCAGTAATTATAAAACCGGAATGCAACTGTATTTGCTAATTAAATAAAACGGAAAACGTTTTTTTTTTAAAAAAAAAAAACAAACCATAGAATTGATTGATATCATTAATGAAAGTACTTTTAGAATGAGTATAATTAGAAGAAGCAATGCTATCATAATAATATCAAAAAAACGCCAACGAAGCTGGAAAGTACTTTTTTTTTTTTTAATTAATTTATTTAATTCTTTTATGGTATTATTAAAATTATTAAATTTAATTTATTAAAATTGAAATTACTAGGTAAATCTATGGCACTAATTTTAATAAATTACATCTTATACAATTTAGCTACACAATTAGCATATAAATTTTAGAAATTGAATTGAATTAAATTTTTTATCTAAATTTTTAATTTGAACAAACAATAATACTTGACGTAAAGGAGCTCGTTGAATACGATTTGAAAATACCCAAATTGATTCAACAAGTGATAAAAATGTCCAAAGCCATACCAAAGTATCCAAAATGAGTGAACCACAACCAGGTAATGATATCTGAAAATAATATGATCAATTCTAATAAAATAAATTTAAAATTTATTAAATTTAAAAGATAAAAAAAAAAGAAACAAATTAAATGAATCTAAAAAAAAATGTTTTTTTTTTTGCTCATTTATTTTGTTTTGAAAAATTTTTTAAAAATGAACTCTAACTGTATATGAAAATAAAATAATATGAATGAGTCGAAAAGTAAGTGAAAGCCAATATTTAACAATTGGTGTCGAATAGAATGTTCCAATTGATAAATAAGAAATTTGTTGTTTCATTTGTTTTCTTTCATTATTTTTCATTGATACTGAAATTGTTGAATTCAATTCTTGTCGCATCATTAAACCATCAATCGATTGTTGGCCTAAAAAGTAAGTAAAAAAAAAAAAAAGTTTACATTATTTACAATATTTTTTTAAACTAATAAATTTATAAATAAAATTGGCTTTGCTTTTTTTTTCTTTCTACAACAAAATTAATGAATTAAATTTTGAAATATTATTAATTTTCAAAATAGAATAAAATATTAAATAATACTTAAATTTACCTTCCATTAGAAGACATGAAGTTGTTGATGCTTCAACTGCTGTTGATCGTTCATCACGAATAGTTGATAGGATAAGCTCATCATGCTGCATATTTTTTTTATTGGAAATATAACTGGAAAAATTTTTGTTAAATTAATATTAAAAAAAATAAATTAATATTTAGTAAAATTTAAAAATTAATTTAACTAATTAATTTGTTACACAATCTGTTAGAGTATCATTTGTATTTGTAATATATCAGGTGTAATATTTTAATTAATATTACCTATAAATGAAATATTTTACCTTTTGGTGTTTTTTTGCTGATCAAATTGTAGGAATGATGTTTTAGGGCTAATAGTTGAATATCGATTATGAAAATGATTTTCTGGCGTACGATATCGTATCCACCATTGAATTGGAATTATCAGCACTGATGCAAGCAAAATTTTCAACCAATGTGGTAAAAGTATGGAACCTTTCGAACAAGCAACCTATAAAATTTTACAAGCAATAATTAATTTAATTAATTTTATTAATTCTAATTTATATTTATTTTTAAAACAATTTTATTTCAAAATAATTTAAATAAACAGATGACAAAAAATAATAAAAAAATTTATTTTAAAATAATTTAAATAAACAGATGACAAAAAAAAAAGAAATGCAATTAAAATATATGTATAACAATATATAATATTAATCAGTACAGTTTATAATATCAGTATAGTGATAATAAGATATCAGTATAATTTAGGCATATTTTTATGATAATAAAAGTAAATTAGATATCCTTTATCAATATTTATTCTGTAATATAAATAACTTGATTGATAACTATAATTTAATAAATTTACTTTATCAATACCTGTAATTTTCCGTACAAAAGCCGATAAATCCATTTTTGACAACATCGATGTGCCACAAAATGTTTGTTATTAGTCTTAAAAAAAAATTTTATTTTAAAATATTTTAAATAAACAGATGACAAAAAAAAAAAGTGCAATTAAAATATATGATAAGCATTTCGATTATTTTAAAGTAATTATTACCTAAAGTGTTAAACCACCAAATATTTTAAAGTAATTATTACCTAAAGTGTTAAACCATCAACTATTTTAAAGTAATTATTACCTAAAGTGTTAAACCATCAACTATTTTAAAGTAATTATTACCTGAAGTGCATGTTCCGGTAGTTTAAAGTAATTATTACCTGAAGTGCAAGTTGCGGTAGTTTAAAGTAATTATTACCTGAAGTGCAAGTTCCGGTAGTGTTAAACCATCAAATGACTCCAACGGTAAACATAATAAACGATAAGTTTCTCGTGGTGATTCAGCATTTGCTGCATCTAATATTGCATTTGCATGCTCATTAAACCATCGTGCTGCATTTCTTAAATCATTTTCATACAAAAGGTAATCATGCACCTGTAATTAGCTGATATATAGCTAGCTACCTGTGATTAGCTAATGTATAGCTAGCTACCTGTGATTAGCTAATGTATAGTTAGCTACCTGTGATTAGCTAATGTATAGCTAGCTACCTGTGATTAGCTAATGTATAGCTAGCTATCTATATAATTAGTTAATGAATAGCTGAGACATTATTCTGGAACATTTATAAAAGAAATTAAAAAATTACTAGTAAACAGAAAAAAAAAAAAAGACTACACACTCAAAAAACTAAAAAAATAAATAATACAATTTTAATACAATCAAAACTAAAATCAAATTTATTATTACAAAAAATAAAATATAACCTTATCAATCGCAAAAAATTTTTAATACTAAAAAGGAAAAGAAACAAAAATTGCCTAAAGAATAAACCTTTCAATTAAGCGTCAAAAATTCTAAATTTAAAAAAATCCTTTAAATATGTTATTAATAATATTTTTTTTAGCATATATCATAATTCTACATTAATTATTCAAAATTTTCATTAATCTCATATATATACAAAAAATATTAAAGGAAAAAAAACAAACAATAAAATACATTGAATAAAATGATATCTTATTTAAAAATTAAAAAACTAAAACGATTTTTTTTCCCAAAAAAAAAAACTAAAAACAATTTTTTTCCTTTGAAAAAAAAAAAAAAAAAATTAAAAAAATTTGAAAAAAACTAAAGTTTAGAAAATTGTCAAATATTCTTCAAAAAAAAAAAAAATTTGACAAATCTAAAAAATGTAATAAAGAAAGTAATTTAAATCAGACATAAACTGTTGGTTGTGTGAAAAAAAAAATAACAAAAATGAAATATTTATAAATTATTGTTAAAAATTTATTTACAAACCTCAAAAGCTAATGAATTGCATATTCGTGCAAGAATTATTGCTAATGAAATTGGCTCAAATGAGTATGCACATAAACATTTTGCTAATTCAAGACGATTTAATAAAATTGACCATATTGCTAATATTTGAAAGCATTGATCTTGATTAAGCATATGTTGTTGATTAAAATATGTTGCACATAGCAAATTTTTCATACCACCAGATAAATAAATCTAAAATTCGAATATATAAATAAATCTAAAATTCAAATATATAAATAAATCTAAAATTCAAATTATAAATAAATCTAAAATTCAAATTATAAAATTCAAATATATAAATAAATCCAAAAATAAATAAATCTAAAATTCAAATATATAAATAAATCTAAAATTCAGTTATATAAATAAATGTAAAATTCAGTTATATAAATAAATGTAAAATTCAATATATAAATAAATCTAAAACTCAAATATATAAATAAATCTAAAATTCAAATATATAAATAAATCTAAAATTCAAATATATAAATAAATCTAAAATTCAAATATATAAATAAATCTAAAATTCAAATATATAAATAAATCTAAAATTCAGTTATATAAATAAATCTAAAATTCAAATATATAAATAAATCTAAAATTTAAATATATAAATAAATCTAAAATTCAAATATATAAATAAATCTAAAATTCAAATATATAAATAAATCTAAAATTCAAATATATAAATAAATCTAAAATTCAAATATATAAATAAATCTAAAATTCAGTTATATAAATAAATGTAAAATTCAGTTATATAAATAAATCTAAAATTCATTTATATTGATAAATCTGAAATTCAATTATATAAATAAATCTAAAATCTAAAAATAAATCTAAAAATTTAATATATTTTACTTTTAAAGCAATAAAATTGATATATTTTTTTTTCTTTTAAACATTTACAAATTGATTGATCATTATCAGTAAATTAAAAGCAATAAATTGATCATTACCAAAAGTTGTTCTAATTGATCAATTAAAATTGCATCAATTTCTACCACTGGTAAATTTCGTCCCAAACAATGAGCAATAATAATATTATTAAAAAATGCCTAAAATATAATATAACATTTATTTCATTTAATTTATCATGCTAATTTATTACTTTTCTAAATTTCACTAAATTTTTTTTTCAAATTCTTTATTTTATTAAATTTCTTTGGAAGAAATTTATTTTTTTTTTAAATTCTTCATTTCTTTTTTTTTTTTCAAATTCTTTATTTCATTAAATTTCTTTAGAAAAAGAAGAAAAAATTGTCATCTTGGCCTTATTGGATCATTTTTTATCAAAATTAGATTATTTTTTTTTAAAAAAAAGAGAAAAGAAGCAAATTTACTTGATCTGAAATATGTTGTATTAATTTTGTTAATAAATGTAATGAAACTTTCAATGAAATATTCTGCTCTAAAATAGCTGTTAAAACGATCAATCGATTATCTGATAATAATGCCTCTTCAAAAAGATCACTGATATCCTCAAAAAAGAAGAAAAAGAAAGTTATAAAATTTGTCAAATTTATTTAAATTCATCAATTCTTTCATCGAAATGTTAAAAGTTTCAATTAAATGTTTAAATTTATTAAAGTCTAATAAAATCTTTTCTTATTACTTTTTTTTTTTTTAAATTATCTTGAATTTGACTTAATTATTGAATATTACAATTTTTTCAAAACGAAAGTATCAATAAAATTTGATAAAAAGATTGATTAAATATGAAATAAGAAACGAAAATTATCATTTATAGCAGAAATTTAGATTATTTTACATTTGTAACAATCAATAATTTAAAATTGTTTTATTCAATAATTGTAAGATTTAATAATTTCAAAAAAAAATTTTTTTTTTTTTTTTTTTTACCATATTAGCATAAAGTGTGTTTAGATCAGTGGATAAAATAATCGATGAAACATTAAGTTTTACTGCAAGGCGTAATAAACGATGAATGTCATTTGTATCAATAGCACTTTGCATAGATAATTTTAAAAAATGATCACGTAAATTATCAATCTAAAATATAAAATATGAAATTAAATTTAGAATTATTAGAAAAAAAAAGTTCAAAGTTTTAAAATTCAAAAGGAAAAAAAAACACCTTTAAAATAACATTTTAGCATATGAAATTTTAAATGGAATCAAATAAGTAATGAATGAATAATAAGTAATATTTTAAAAAATTAAAAAAAAAAAATTATCTGTTCAATAAGTATATGAAATTTTAAATGGAATCAAATAAGTAATGAATGAATGAGTATAGTAAGTAATAATTTAAAAAATTAAAAAAAAAAAATTAACTGTTCAATAAGTATATGAAATTTCAAATGGAATCAAATACGTAATGAATGAATGAGTAGTAAGTAATAATTTAAAAAATTTAAAAAAGAATTACCTATTCAATAAGTATATGAAATTTTAAATGGAATCAAATAAGTAATGAATGAACGATTAGTAAGTAATAATTTAAAAAATTTAAAAATTTAAAAAAGAATTACCTATTCAATAAGTATATGAAATTTTAAATGGAATCAAATAAGTAATGAATGAACGATTAGCAAGTAATAATTTAAAAAATTTAAAAATTTAAAAAAGAATTACCTGTTCAATAAGTATAAACGATAATAATGGTACATTACCACAAGCAATAGCTAATGATGCAATAATATTTTCTTTAGTTTCATTAATTAATTCATCGTTAGATAAAAGACTATTCGGTGCTAAACTATATAATTCCAAATTTAACCATTCTAACCAATTTTCAAAATGAAATATTGAACTACGATATAGTAACCAGCAATGATATAATAGAGCACATAATTCACTACCATCCTAAATTTCTTTTTTTTTTTCAAAAAATAATGAAAATTTTTGAAATTTAAAAAAGAATAAATCTTTCTTTTATTAATTTAAAATACTTTTATTATTAACATTTTATCATTTTAAAATTATTATACAATAATTATTATTTTTTTTTTCCTTAGGATTATTTATTATTATTTTTAATTATGCAATAATTATTTTAGATTAATTGAAAAAAGTTTTGATAAAATATTTTTTTAAATGTATAATTTAACTTACCTGTAAAACAATCACTGATATGCCACATTGTAAATGTGCTCGAAGTTCAGCAATTGATGCTAATTCATTGCCACAAAATAATGCTACAGCAATAGGTAATTTTTCATATTTATTAGGTGATAACAATGCTATCTGTGGTGATAAGCAAAGATTACTATCACTTTGTGGTGCATCAATTAGTAATGCTAAAAAAAAACTTATGCAAATTTTTTATGATTATTTCATTTATAACTTAAAAAATTTTATAGAAAAATTATTATTATTATTATTATTGCATAAAATAATTTGATAATACTAGTAATAATAAGTAATATGATAGTTTTAACTTAATAATACTAGCAATAATAAGTAATATGATAGTTTTAACTTAATAATACTAGTAATAGTAAGTTATACGATAGTTTTAACTTAATAATACTAGTAATAGTAAGTTATACGATAGTTTTAACTTGATAATACTAGTAATAATAAGTAATGTGATAATTAGCTATAATGTTATCTATTTTGGGATATTATTTTGTGATATTTCAAATATAATCTCATTTGGTGATATCTTATTGAAATGGAATGATAAGAGAAATTATCGTTTATTTTTATCATATATTTTTGAAAAGTATTACCATACTTTTTAACTAAATATTTTTAAAAATTTTTATTACTTTTTTATACTTTTTAATTTTTTTAAAATTTTACCAGGTGGTTGTATTGAGAGTTTCATTGCAATGATACTTCTAAACAATGCTAATTTATTAATTTGCTCCATGCATAAAATTAAAATTGTTTTACATTGAATATCAATCATTGGTATATGATACAATTGTTGATCATTAATCACACAGCTATTATCATTGATAACTAATAGCAATGTTTCAACATTTGTTAAATTCTAAATTTATCATTTATTATTAACAAAATTATCATTTGTTTATTATTAACAAAAATTATCATTAACAAAATTATCAAAAAAAATCACAAAATTATCATTGTCAATTTATATATTCAATTATAAACTCATAGCATACTGTAAATTTTATTAATTTTATCAAAATTAATTTTATAATTTACAAAAAATACAAAAAAAAAAACGAAAATTAAATTTTTCTTTTTTTTTTTAAAAAATACTTGTAAATTTTAGAAGAAAATATTTTAAAATTTAACTTACCGATGATTCCTTAGCATAGATAATATTTCTAGCAACACATGCTAATGGATCATTTGCTTTACCTGATGTTATCAGCCATGAATTACAATTGAAAATAATTTTTGATAAACCTTTTTCAATTTGTTTTTGTTTCTGTAATATTTCTTATTTCATTTTCATTATCTTTGGACACTTTTTTTAAAAAAAAAAGAAGAAAAAATTACAAAATGTGAAGGAATAGAAAAGAAAATATTAATAAACAAATCGTTTTTTTTTTTTTCTAATAAAATTATTTGAAAATTTGAAAGGTCAAATTGTTATCAGATTAATTTAAAAAAAAAAATTACAAAATGCTAAGGAATAGAAAAGAAAATATTAATAAAAAAAGTAGAATTAAATTTTTTTTTTTCTTTTGAATTTATAAAATATTATAAACGTAAAGTTAGTGTTGTTTTTTCCTTCCGTTTTGTTTTTTTTTTTTCTGATAAAATTATTTGAAAATTTGAAAGGTCAAATTGTTGTCAGTTTAATTTTAAAGATTTAAGGAAGAAAAAAAAAAGGAAAAAATTACAAAAATAATATAAATTTTTTTGATAAAGATTGTTTATTATACTTTTTTTTTTTAAGATTTTAAGTATCGAAAGATTAATGAAAGGTGGAAAAATCAAAAAAAGACAACAATTTGTTTATAATTTAAATAATAATTAAGGAAATAACTCTTTCTTTTTTTTACTTATATGAATGTCAAATCTAAATTAATAGTAAAGGTAATATTTCAGAGATATGAAATGAATTAATTACCTGTAAACCAATAATATTTTCATCGGAAATTAACGAAATGATCATATCAGGAATGCCCTCATCCAAATGACTATAAAGATATTTCACTAATTTCGGAATTGCTTTCTGTGACCGGATTAATAATGCCGGATAAGTTTGCTCAGTTAAATTTTGACCATTTGCATACGTTGATTCCACGTATAGTTTAACGTCAGCAATATGTAATTCATCATCACGTGAAACATTGCCACTATTTTCCATTAGCACTTGTTGGCCAATAAACTTTTTTTTCCTGATAATATGATAACCGGAAAAGTTTCCTTCTTTGAAAAATTATTATTTTAACATTCATAATTTTACAATCTATTGCATTAAATTCATTCATTATTTCAAATGATTAAGTTAGAATCGAGAATTCTTGATGATACAAAAATTAGCATATTTAGGCAAGAAAAAAAATTAAAAAAACAAAATTTAAATTATAAATAAAATGAATTTTTGAAATAAAAACATAAACAAATAAATGTGCTAACTAATTTCCTATCACAAATATCTAAAATAATTAAAATTTTTACTGAGCAAAATTTTTTTTTACATAAAAATATTTGTTTTATCCTTAATAGCTTAGCTATTTGTCCTATCTTATTAACTAGGCATATATTTGATAATTTTTTGAAAATATTTAACTATTAGGGATGAAAAATCATTTTATTAATTTGTTTGCTTATACTATTAAATTTCAATGAAAGTTCTTTTTTTTTTTTGATGAAAAAAATTTATATTACTTTAAATAAACTTTCGATGAAAAGTTATCAATCAATTGATGTGACAATCAAAATGTCACAGTTATAGCCAATAAAAAAAAAAAAAAAAAAGTGAAATTTTAAGAAGTGAAAGAGGGGAAAATAAAAGAGAGAGAGAGAGAGAGAAAAAAAAAAGAAAGGTAAAATATGGATGAAGAAAAAGAGATGAGAAAAATGATAAATTTGATGTCCATATCTCTCTCCGGATTACAACAATTTTATTTTTCTTTTTTTTTTTCGTTAAAAAAGAGAAAAAAAACCAAATCTCCCTCTCTCTGTCTACAAAAAGAGACAGAGAGAGGGAGAGGGGGAGAGAAAAAGAAAAAAAAAAAAAAAAATGCTAAATGTTAGAAAAATATTAACCAAATACAATCATTAATCAAAAAATGAAAAAAAAAAAGCCTTTTTAAAATAAAAATGTCAGATAAATTGCGCAAATGTTAATGATGACAAAAGCGCCGAAATTAAAATGAGAAAGAAAAAGAGCGAATATACCTAAATGTGATAAAATAGATCTGTGTGATTTAATTTCTTTTAACATTAAATATATATATTTCAATAAATTTTCATTATTGATTATTTCAATGAAATTAAAATTTTATGATATACAATAAAACTGATTTAAACATTTTCGTTTTTTTTTTTTGATTTGATTTAATTTCGATTAAAAATTTACATTTTATAAGAAAAAAAAAAAAAGGAAAAAAGATGGAAACATTATTGACTTTCTCATTAATGATAAAAACAAAAAATTAAATTAAGCTTTAAATTTTTAATTTGATTATTTATAGTACTAAACAAAATGATTATTTTTCATACCATTTTCATTCAATTTAAAAAGATTAAAAATGTAATTTTCATGAATAAATTTTTTTGCTCAATAATTAATGCAATCAGTTTGAAATGAATGAATTGATCAAATTGATATAATCAGCGAAGTGATAAGTAAGTTATAAAGTAACAAAGTAATAAATAAGTTGAACAGTACTTCCTTATATGTATAATTAAAACTTTTAACTTCTTTATTTACTTACTTTATTCTCACCAATAATAGCAATAGGTAAAGGTCAAATTAAACTGTAAGCTTTTAATTTGATATTTATGTGTAAAAATGTTCGATCAAATATGCATAATACTAAAAAAGAAAGTTAATTTCTTAAAGAGAAAATAAGATTTTCCAGGAGAAGAGGATGAGTCAAAGGTCATACAAACAAAACAGATGTGAAGATGACAATATATTGACTGACCAGTAAGTGTCCAACGAAAAAGAGCACAGTGTCATCCTATGAAACATTTGTCATCCATTCACTAATCGATTCCAATCTCTTTTTGGACTTTTTTTTTTTATGATAAAATTATGCCAATTATTTATTTATTTGTTTATTTGTTTACTTATTTATTTTGTATAATCAAAAATCCGAATGAAAACACTTACAATATAGTTATAAAATAAATGAAATTTGAAATTATCATAAGCTCTATTTGAGATAGGTCAAGTTATTCTGAAAATGGACAAACAAAAAAATACCAATTAGACTTTATAAATGTTATAAATAATTCAGAACAGAAAGAGTATAACATTTTAAAAGTAAAAATAACTTTTACAATTACATCATTAAGAAAATCTGAAAATGTTAAAATTCATTTTGATTTAAAATTTATGTAAAATAAATTATTAAATTTGTTTACATAAACTATCAGCCAATGCAGATTTCTCTTTTTTTTATTCATTTGTTAATAACAAAAAAAGGGAAAAAAAAGTACTGAAATTAAAATACAAATATAATTGATAATTAAACAATATTGCTTGCTTAAATCCTAAAATTGAAGCTAATCAATCAACAAATTGTAAATTTAAATTTGAACATTTGGAGTGAATTAAAACAATTTTTCTAGAAACGATAGACATTGTTCCTAATTAATCAATAAATAAACAATAAATTGCTTAAAGAGAACAAATTAATTAATGGATATTTACATTTAATTTAAATGTTTTGCTTAAAAGTTTTAATCATATTTGAATTAAAACAATTCAAATTATTATATATTAATTACAGAAGCCTTGCGGTGCATTACATTGCTTATTACCGGCCACAACAAATAGCCTAGGCTTTGATGACATACAAACACAAACTCGTAAAGCATCAATTGAAGCAGTTAATGAAGGAGACGAGCTTAACGGTAGTGTTTTCCGACTATTTCCAAAATAGAGTTTCTTGGTTGAAAACATTATTAGGCCATCAGCCTGAAAGAAAAAAAAAAAGAAAAATTGAAATTGTCATCAAAGTTATGTGACAAAAAATCAAAGGTTTTTGCTAAATTCATTTTACATTTTATAATTTTTGTGATAAGAAATTGTCAATGATCTTTGTGATAAAACCTTTGTGATAAGAAATTTTCAATGATCTTTGCGATAAAACCTCTGTGATAAGAAATTCTCAGTGATCTTTGTGATAAAAGAAAAGTGTTACAGCTAAATGAAAATATAAATTAGCAATGATCAATTTAAAATTAGCACAAAATTTTCAACAAAAATAGCTATAAAAAGTTAAAAACTATGAAAAAAGTTTGCATTCGCATTCGTTGCTAAAAAAAAAAAAAAAAAAACAAATAAATAAACATTCCAAATTAGCACTAATTGATAAGATCAGTTCTGATAAGATTAAGTATGAAATATTACTGTAAAATAAATTTCAAAAATAAAAAAAAATAGAAAATAGATCTTTTAAGCGTATTTATTTGTAATTTGAAATAAAGAAAATAAGTGAGAACATTTCCTTTTTTTTTTTTTTTTAACTTAAATAAATTAAATTAAAATTATTAATTAGTCATACCGTTGTTCCTATTGAAATACCATTTCCGGCAGTTAAATTTATTCGTTTTGCCTCAAAATGTATTCCTTCATTACCACGTAATCCCAAATTAATCACATTCACTGATAAATTATCATTGACCGGTGAACGTATCTAAAAATCATTCAAAAAAGAACAAATTAATTTTCATTTGATTGAATTGTAAAACAAATTTGAATTTAATTATAAAATTTGAATGTATATTTAAAATATACATATTTAAGTGTATGTTTATAGGATATTTATATATTTAAGGAAATTCAATTCTATAATAAAAATTATTTCAAAAAAAAAAATTACGATTAAGCATATCATAATTATATTCAAATTTAAGAGACTGTAATTGTACTCAAATTTAAATGCTATTCTTTCTTCATCTTAATTGACCAGCTAAATTTTTTAAGCCATACAAAATTCAAACTATCATTATTGAAATAAATTATTTATACATAAATTTCCTTAAATATTTCAATTCAATTATTTCAGCTCAAAAAAAAAGTATGAAATTCTGAAAGATTAGCTTTAAGCAGAGCTAATCTTTCAATCTTTAATCTAAATTAAGAAATTAGAATTTCTTTCTTTTTTTTTTAAGAAAATTTAGTATTTTTTTACAAAGATCATTTTTAGATTTACTTCTTTACTTTTTAGATCAAATTTTTAAATCATTTTCAGATCAAAATTCAAAAAAAAAAAAAAATTTTTAGAAAGAATGAACTTTATCTGTTATAATTTGAGCAGTTGATATTTTCTTAATTCGTTTGTCAACACGAAATAATGGTCGTTCGGCATTGAAGTATGATCGAAATGTATTTTTTATCTGCAAAATTTCATTTAGCTAAATAACTAATTTAACAAAAATTTTTTTTTTTTGACATTTTATTTCTTTAAACCGATTAATCAATTAATTTTAGGTTTTTACTTTAAATTTTTAGCTCTTTTTTTTTTCTTTAAGGAAAAAAAAATCCTTTTAATGATTTCAATAAATCATAAATGATTGTAATGACAAACGGTAAATTGTTTGCTATTCTCGAAACGACAAATGCCATCCTGTAGTATTAGACGATTTTCCGTTGATTTACTGCTAACTATTACCTAAAAAATAAATAAACAAACAATTTATAAGTAATTTTTTTAATTTGCAATTGGTAATTTACGATCTTTTTATTATTTATTTATTTTTTTTGTGAATTATTTATGGAATAGTTTAATTATTTATGATTAGTTACACTTCTTCCAGACAAAAACTTCAAAAGAGTAAGAAAAACATACATTAAATATAAGTTCTATTGAATTCTATGTGAAAATATTAATCAAATAAAAATTAGAGAAATCAACTAATAAAATTAAAATTAACATATGCAAAATAAATGAGAAAAATAAAATAAATGAGAAAAAAAAAATCTAATAATATTATTTTTGAATGATAATTTTTTAAAATAATTTCAATGTCACTTATTATATGTATAAAATAACACTATCTGTTCACTGAATTTGTCAAATTTCAAGTAAATGCATTGAATAATTAACATAAAATATCTTACATTTACATTTAAAAAAAAAAAAGAAAAAAATCTTTTTTCTTTCTTAAATTCTAAAAATCATTTTCAAAAAAAAAAAAAAAATTGAAATAGCTTACCCTGGAACCTACAATTGCCAAATCTTTGCCTGCACTACCATAAACAGTACCACTTTTTGCAATTACTTTACCCAAATGAATTTCATTAGCTGAGAATTGCAAAACAACATCATCTTTATCATTTTCTGGATGATATCGACTATGAAATTGAAGATATTTCATACCTCTCGTTGATATACCCAGCACATGAACAATGAAAATATTTAACTGAAAATATTTGTAATGAAACAATTAAATTTTATTAGAAAAAAGTAAAACGAACTATCGATGGATTAGCTTAAAATAATTATTTATTTTCCTACAATTATTACATATTTGAATTCTTATATCTGATTAAATAATAAGATTAACAAAAAATTAAATAATAATAACAATAACTGAATTAAATAATAAGAAAGTTTATGAATTACTTAAATAATAACAATAAAAATAATAATAATAATATAAATTATATGAAATAATACGAAAGTTTATGAACTATTCATCTTCATTATATTTTAATATTATCTATTCATTGTCATTATTTTAATATTACTTTAGAAATTCCATCAACATCTATCAACACTTTAGAAATTTATTTGAAAAATAATTCAACTTCATTAATCAAAAAAATAAATAAATAAAGTTAATAATTATCGCAAAAAATAAAAAAGAGGAAGAAAAAAAAAATTATTTCTACAAAATGCAAAAAAAACTTACAATCAATAAGATGAGTGTAATAATTGTTAGCACCATTAAAAATACCAACAAAATCCATAATCGTTTTTTACGTAATCCAGTTACGTGTAATTTATACTCAATATTATCCGGAACAATAGGTGGTGGTGGTTCTTTGAAATCCGGAAAACGTGATTGTTGTTGTTGATCATTATCATTATTATCATCATCAATGATATTACGACGATATGTTGGCTTACCAGTTGGCATTACACATTTACAACTCAATAGCACATCTATTTACACTATGTGTAGATAAAACTCTTTTCATTTTTACATTTCTCACTACTCTGCAACAAACTAATTCTCTTTATCACTTAGCATTACGAATTGATAAGATTAGAGAGTTAACTTATCAATGAAGCTAGCTAACATTGCACTCATTTAGAATGTATATTGATTACTTTTCAAGACTGATAATATTTTAAAAGTTTGAAATATTTCATTAATAATCCCCTCACTTCCACTCATTTTATTACTAATAAAAGTTTCGCTTTTTTTTTTAAGTAAATATTAATCGTGCCGAAAAGTCTTTTTCCATATGATCTGCTCCATTCTGCTATAATGACAAATCTTCTTTTCTCGTTTTTTTTTTTTCTTTTTTGTACCTCTTTATTTAACAGTTTCATCACAATACAACAATAATAGATGAAAATGAAATTGAAGAACAATTCACAAAGAGCTTTTTACCATTTTTCAGAAGTTCTAAACTTAATTTAAAGCTATAGAATACCAAAAAAAAAAAAGAAAAAAAAAGAAAGAAAAAAAAAAGCTTAAAAGCTTCTAATAGTTGTAAAAAAATGAAACAGTAAACAGCTCACAATTAAATTAATAATGTAAGGAGGTAAATTGATTCTAACTACAGAGTAAACACTCTTTAATTTGCCAAAACATAAAGTTTGTTTTATTGCTACTATGAGATAAAAATATAATATAAGAAGTATTATTCATAATTCTGAGACATTTTTACGCGTTCTCAAACGTACGCAAAAAAAAAAAAAAAAAAACTTTGTCTACCAAAAGAATATGAAACCGGAAATATTAAATCGTTACCGAAGAAATTCTTTAAAAATCTCGAAAATTTGTCCAAGTAAAAAAGAAACCAATAAATCGTATGATTAAACATATAAGTGAAAAAATATATAACGAAAAACACAAGTGCTATAAAGTTAACTGCTTTGATGTTAGCAAAAATTTCTTTTGGTTGGCAAATTATCATCATGAAAAGTTCAAAGTAGTAATGAAATATCATTCCTTCATTTTTCAGAAAAAAACAGTACATTTTACAGTGAAAACTTTACGCCGACAATCATTATTGATACAACTGAAAATGAAAAAAAAAAACAGGAAAATGTACTAAAAGTATACCTCAAAAAAGAAAAAAAAAATTTGCAAGAAATCGAAAAAAAAATTTTCTTCACTACCAAAAGATCAACATCATAACTTCTGAGATGATAACAAATTTGACTGGATTGCATCCCATTAAAAACGTCTCTAAAATATGAGAAAATATTAGTTCTAAAATCCTTTTACGATTACGAGAAAATTTCAATCACTGTGAAATAAAACACATTTGACAAAGGAAAAATAAGCAGGCAAAAGCTACAATTTCTTAAACCAAATTGTATTTCTTTTAGATTTTGAAATCGTTCTCTCGTACTTAAAATTAATTACATGTTTGTGAATAGAATGAATTAAGATTTATGTTACTAGAGAGTTGTCAAATTATCATCTTAAACCTTTTTTTTTTCCTCTTACTCTAAAAACGAACAAAAAATACATTTCGAATCATAAAAAAAAAAAAAAAAATGCCAGATTTACCTTGTAGTCTCTAAGGCATGACAGGCAAATACGAGGACGATCCGTATGGTCAAATGGACATTCCTTTTTGACACATAATTTGTCATAACGACAGTAACCATGGAAATAGTAGCATTTCTCTCCTGGACAGTTCGGAAAATTCCTGAAAATGGAAAACAAAAAGTTCAAATATCCTCTAAACTTACATAAAATGCTTTGAAAATAGAAAAAAAAAAAAAACCGTTTAGTACAAAAGAAGCAGTCACATAAAAAAAAAATACATACTTGCATTTCACTGGCGGTCCATGTGGACAGCGACCTCGGCCACGCTGAGCAACACCAGCTGAACGACCTCGTTGTCGATCAGCGAGATAGATTTTCTCTTTTAAACATTCCTACAGAAAAAAAAAAATTAAAAGTAATTATTGGAAACAAAAAAAAAAATACGGAATAATCGTACTGATAAAGATAATTCGAATGACTTATCACAGTAACTTAATATCATACAGTTATTAGAAACAGCAAAATGATTATGTCATTGAAAATTTCTAAAATGCTGGAAAAAAAAAAATAAGAAACATAGGAAAACCTTATAAATATGATCGCGAAATTCTTCCCAATTTGAATCTTTTGCACCACTAATTTTCCCACCAAAATCATCTTTGCAAAAATCACACAGCAAACGATAGTCGGAATGGCGTCGTTTCATGTGTTCGCAAAGTTTTTGCACACTTGATGCTTGCTTCTCGCAATGAGGACATGGAAAGCATGCACCATGAGCACGAATTTCATGCTCGCACAGTTCTCGAATGGTTTCAAAATCACGATCACATTTGCGGCACGGATACTCGTAAACCGGACGAGCTGGGCTGAAAATTAGTGAAAATCAATAAGGTTTACAAATTTATTTCTGGGATTTAATTAAAAAGTTGAGAAGCATTTTATCAGGAGAAAAACATTAAATCAGGCAGACAATGATGTTTTTAAAGGGAACATGTCATTTTCATAATTCATCTCTTAAATATTTCAGTCTGTCTGTATTTGAAAACCAGTTGTTCAGTAACATTTAAACAGAATAAACCAACTGCAGCTAAAAGCAGAAATGGTTCATATTCATTGTAAAAGCACTGACAATTATGTTAGTGATTTACAGTATAATTCCTCTCAAACCACTCCTTCAAATGGCATTTTTTTTGCCGTTTGGAGGTGTTAGAGGTACATCAATTCATGGATCCCTTATTGTTTGACAATTTACATTTAAGATAATGTAAACTGTTAAACAATATTAAGAAGATAAGACATTCGGACACACAAACATAATTGGTCCCTAATTCATCTTTCCCAACAGTTATTCGCTTGAAATTTAGAAAAATAGAAAAAAAAGAAAAAAAAAATGATACTTTTAAAGTGCTATCTACGCATATAATAATATTGAACATTTTTGCATAGTATCTCTAGACTACAACATAATTTCACCTGCGAATAATTTCAATCATAATGAGAATAGTAATAACAATAATGATAGCACCAGTGTGTATGTGTTTGCTTGTATAGCCGCTGCCATCATCATAAAACCGTTGGGATGGGTATGCCGAAGAACAATGATAATAATAATAATAAAGGCTGGACTAATCGGATACAACTAACACCGTCAACACAACACTGCATTAAAAAAAAGTTAAAATACTATGCAAACGAGAAACAACTGAAAAACAAATTCAACTGAAAAGTCAATTACAACTGTTCATACTTTAAGCTTTAAAAATACAAAAATTTTAGAAAAAATAAATTTGCTTTTGCTAGGACAGCACTTCAACTATAAAATACCCATATTATACTATATCAGCTTTTACAATAACTTAAATCTTCTTACACTAACTTAATTAAACAGTAAGCACAAGTTCCATAATCTCAATGTTCTACTCAATTGCTCTTATACTCTTTTCAAATAACCTAAAAATATTTATTAACTTAATAAAATCTACCTCATAGCTTTGAAAGAACCATAAGTGTCCCGACTTGAAGATGACGAACTACGCGTGGGACGACGTCTTGGGCTGTGACTCCGTGATGCCTTGCGACGATGCGTCGGGCTATGACTACGACTATAGGAGCGCGAGGTTCGACGAGCCTTTTTCTTAGATGATTTACGACGCGAGCGTGAACGCGAACGTGAGCTAGCTCGTCGTGGTGATCGAGAACGTGAGTGTGACTTAGTACGTGATCTCGAGCGGCTTCGCGAGCGCGATTTCGTAGAAACGGTATGCGCGCTTGAGCTAGAAGAATGCCGGCGGCGATGACGACGACGACGCCTTGATGAAGTAGAATGAGACCTTGACGCACGTTCTTTTTTTACATGAGTTCTAAAAAAGAAAAACTTTCTTACTGAGAACAAGTTCAAGTATCTTCGTTATCAAAACAACTACTCCTTTTGATGATTAAGCTACAAAAAATTTATAATCAGTCTAAGGCACAAAAAAAAAAAAAAAAAAGAAATAAGTGCATTTTCGTATTTATTTTGAATAAAAAAAAAAAAAAAAAAAAAAAAAAAAAAAAAACGAACTGTCCGCTTTCTTTTTTAGCAGAAACATCTGATTTTTCTGACTTCACACTTTCGACCGTATCATCTCTTTCTCCTTTGTTATATTTTTTACCATCATATGCCATTTTCCTTTCATCATTACTAACTTTACCGTCATCATTCAGATATTCCGATTTCTCATTGCCATTCATTTGACGATATTGTTCGTTGTCCATATTTCCTACTGGATTTTCTATTTCCATCATCTGTACAAAAAATTCAAATAAACTTTTAAAAAATTAACAACCCTGAATAAGCTTACACTACGTAAAATTCAGACTACATTCATATCGGATACCTTCTGTTCATAAAAAAAAAAAAAAGTAGACTGCACAGGGATTAAATGAGAATAAACCCCAAGCTTAAATACGAGAATTCTGACTTCAACAAAATTCTGAAAAAAAAAAAAAAAAAGTAAATAAATAAACTGAATAGCATAAGAAAATATTCACAACCGAAAAACCGAAAACCAACCGTTCGACAGTGCACAGCCAACAATTAATGACAGGAAGAAGGAAATTTTTAGCATCATTTGCAGCAAATTATACAAAAATATTTAAGGGTAACTAAGGCGCTACATAATTTTACCAGAAAAAAGAAAAAAAAAAAAAAGAGAAATTATTGAAATTTATGCATATTACTATGCTACGACTGCTTCTGTATAGAAAGTCTTCCTACAAACAACAACATTTTTCCATATCAACTCGTTTTCTAAATTAAAATTTACTTATGTTAAATTAAGCCTTAGAATATAACACTGATAGTTTGACTAATAATTCGACTATTTATTAAAAGTAAAAAAAATAAGCAAAATTCATTTCAATTAGTCCAACTTTCTTCACAAAAAAAAACAAAACTCTAAATGAAAAAATTTTTACTTTAAGTAAAAAAAGTGAAAAATATTAGAGTTTTAAGCATCTCTTCTTCGCTAAAAATAATGATCACTTAATCAACTTATGCTTATAGCTTAAGTTATGTTCACTTTTAAAATTATCTTTGATCAGAGTAAAGATTGTTGATTATTTAGTACTATCAGCAAGTACAACCAGGAATATGTACAGCAAACAGAATGGGAATGTCATTTTCGTCGTCTCCATGGTAATCATCTGATTAAAATCTCTACATTTCACAGACATGTACGAATCCAACCGTGTAACACTGAACAAAGGACACTATGACATGATTGTTTCGTTTTTTTTTTTTTTTCTTTTTGGGTGGGATGTGAAAAAGAGAAGAGGGAGTGCTTGATAAACTTGATAAATAATTTTTTTTTTTTTCGCAAACACAACTAGTGGATCATTCAGCATACTGTCAAGGGAAAAGCTGACAAATGTGTTTCTTAATTTTATAGATTCAATCAAATCGTTAAAATTCATCTCAACTAATATAATCATAATTTAACATATTGTATAAATTTTCAGTAAAAAGTAAAATCATAAACAATTCAAATTTTCAAACTTCTGATGACTATTCATTATATTCCTAACAAATGAGTGCTGAATCATCATCCTTCAATTCTGTTTGTCAAGTGAGACCGGCACATTCAGAATACATTTGCATCATCAGAATTAAATTGAATTGCCATTTTGTTAAAAATGGTTTTAATTTTTTTTTTTTTTTTTTTTTTTGCAAAAGTTTATCACCGATCATTAAATGGTTGCTTAAAATAAAGAATGTAAAAGTGCTAGAATCATGAATTACGTCACTGCTTCCCAAAATAACAAAAGTATAACCAAAAATAACAATTTCCAGTTAATATGCCCTAAATTTACTTACAATTTCCTACTTTCCTCTCTATCCTAAATGCAGTACCACCTTATCATATTTAGCGCTTATTTTGATAGACATTATTTGATTTGTACTTACTTTTGCAGATTCTATAATTTAGATATTTGTGAGGAAACTGCTGATGATGAATTAAATAATAATGATAACGATGACAATAGATCATTTAAAGTTTTGATAACAATAATCATAATACTGATAAACGATAATATAACGATGTCTTTCTCGACAACTATAATATTTTCATAGTTGGTGATGATGATGCTGATAACAATAATACATATAATGATGATACATAGGATATATATGTGTATATATATGTATATATATAAATGTCGTGTGACAAACCTGCAAGTTCTATTAAATTACTTGCCATGCAAGTTGTGAATGGGCTTTTTTGAAAAGTTGGAAGGAATGGAAACTGAGTTTTTACATTTCATAAAATCGATATTGAAGTATTAAAAGTAATCTTTACTCATTAGTTGGAAATAAAAGAATTCAAACCGTGTAAACAAATAAATAGCCTCATCAACCGTTTTGGTTTCCAACTCTGCTTTATATATGATAACACTCTAAAACAAAAATTTTCAGTACAATTTCAACCGAGATAACACTACCATATTGAACTTATACACTTAATGCCTAGTTTTCTCATAAAATAAGCAGGTATTTCAACAAAGACAGAAAAGCCTCTCGTTATGTCCTACCTGTGACGAGAGTTGAGAAAATAGGACTTTTTTCTTTTTTTTTTTTTTTTTTTGAGGAATGACCATGAAAAATGGACAAGCTGAAGCAAAAAATGAAATGAAAAATTACCTAAAACTGCGACAAAAATGACCACTGAAGACGATATTTCAAATGATAACAATGATATCACCAATGCTGAAATGATATCATGTTTAACTTTCACAAAATTTTGAAGTCATTGCAGCAACAATACTTGGAATTCAACGTTGTTAATATCATATATTACAAATTACACACTTACGTGCAACAAACGTAAACTACGTCAGTAGCAATCAGTAAACTCGCAACTAAGCAACCAGTCATGCCACACTGATGTGATATAACTGAGCACTTTCAATCATATCTATGCATATGACGTCATTTAGTAACTATGGTACCAAATTAATTCGATATTTATAACCAAGTATTCATTGGATGTATTCATCAATGTTTCGACAATAAATATGCAATCGATTATGCTATATCGACAAACAATTAAGTACTTCGCGTTATACGCACGCAAATCACGTCCGTAATGTTAGGAGAACTTAATCACATAAACAAACGTATCAAATAAGTACATTTATGTCAATAAATTTTACTGACGTAAATTTCCATCATACTTTCAAACTTCTAAATGACAATAAATAATGAAAAACAAAAGTTATAACTGCCAAAACAGAAAAAAAAAAGATTTCACTGTTCACATCAAATGAATCAATTGCCATCGCAGCATCGCAAAGCGTTGCGGTTAGATCGAAGACCACGAATTTTCCTACGGGCAAACACAGCGATAGGGAAGAATGCAACACTATGACCAGAAATTGTACCAAAAATATAAAAAATTAAACGCAAATAAGCTGTAAACTTTTATGAATACTTAACTCTTTTACATTATATCATGCTCAATCACGTGAACACGTAAGTTTACGTGAATATCAAATTACAATTATAATTCTTGCATTTTGCATGTAATAATGCAATTGTATGAAATAGCTAAAGTATAGATAAGTTTGAAATTATCTTGACAGATTGTGATGATAAGCTTGCATAAAGATCTGATGACGTCATCTGTAACAGACTACGAGTGATAATCAAATCAGATACGTCAAATACCTATCGTTAACATTGGTGGGTATTAATTTGAAAAGTATATAGTAATGATAGTAAGTAAGTTACTCTCTACTAACTTTACTCTTCTAATGACTTACCTATATTTGACGAAATTCCCGAATAAGTCAACTCATTTACTAGAGCTAACGTTTACTAGTGCTAGGCGTAGGTTCACTTTGACACAGCTGAATCACGTTGTCGCGTTTGTACGAGAAATGTCATTGTATTGAAAGGAAATGAAAGAGAGATACGAGAGTGTATCAAATAGATAAATGAAAGATTTTTTTTTTTTGTTTTGGACGTTATACGTGATAAGTTAACTTATGTCACGTGTAATTATACAAAGTTATAAATGTAAAAATATATGAAGTTATTTGCTTGATTTTAATTAATTATTTTATTTTTATTCATCGACTTATTCATCACTTACAAATTTGTTTATTGTTAATGATTTATTAGAGAATCACCTAATCTTTTTTTTTTTCCTTTCCCATTACCTTTCAATTTATTTATTGTTAATGATTTATTAGATTTCAAAATGTTATCTTTATGACAATATTCATTAAAGATTAAAATCTTCTTCATTATTAATATTTCGTTTGCTGATTTTTGATTACTACAAAAAAGTCTATTAAGAATTTAGCATATTAAATTCTCATATTATTTCCTACTTCTACTAAATATAATTGTACGAGTTCAATTTATAATGATGATTTTTTCCTTTGTTTCTTTTTTTTTTTATCATATATATTTCTATTTTATAGTGCAAGTTTGACAATTTGTTAACTTCATCAAGCATCGATTGTATCTGGAGTGGATGCAACTGTTGCTTGAATTATTGCTTGAAATCTCGACCGTTCATATCATATCAATGAATTTATCATCTCACATCTCACATAACCATGTATTAATTGTTTTGATAATTTCGGCTTAGGTGCGTAATGTGCTAATTTATCAATTATTTCAACAAACTAATCACTTTCAGTGAATACGATTAAATTCATTTGCTCAAAATCAGTTGCTGTCAGCGTCGGTATTGCAGGTGGTTCAAAAGGACAAATAACTGTGAGTTATATAGTATATAACAAACAAATAAGGCAATCTTTCTTGTATCAGTTATTTGATGTAAAGTTTTTTATTTGTGTTCGTGGTACGACCAAAATTTGTAGTTTAATTGAGGTAATCGATGATTATCCTCAGTTTCTTTTTTTTAAGTTTAACTTTTGAACATTGAAAATTTGCATTTGGAAATACTGATCTACTATTGTTCAAGTAAATATAAAATAAGTATGGAACTTTTCAGTATCATTCTTTAGTATTTTATGTTATTTATATTTTTTCACTAATGGTATGCGGTTTGTTTCTTTAGCCGTTGCTGGAAATAATGTTTCTATAGAATGTTCAAGTATTAGTGAAATAACACATAATAGTTAACGCTTATTTTAGAAATTCTCTTTGCAGTCATACTACTTACAGTGGCGCACTTTTAGAAAGCTGGCTTATTAAACTGTAGAAGCTTATTTTCAGGCCATCTGAGAAAACGATTTATTTAATGAGAACAGGGAATACGCGCAAAAGATCC